AGGGCTCTACTGCCTTGGCCTGCCTTCGGCGAAGGCGCCTACAGCAGCGGTCCGACCTGACTTCTCACCTTAGCTGTTCCCCGGGCCAAGAAGGAAAGAGAGAGAGCGAGAGAGAGGGAGGGAGGGAGGGAGAGAGCGAGCGAGAGCGCGAGAGAGCTTTTTAAATTCCAGGCAAAATAAAAATAAAACCGATATGCATATGGAGTGGGGAGATGGGAGATAAGAGATATTTTGTCAAGAAGCAAACCTGGGGGCCGGATCCCTCCCTCCCTCCCTCCCTCCCTCTCTCTCTCTCTCTCTCTCTCTCTCTCTCTCTCTCTCTCTCTTTCTCTCTCTCTCCCTCTCTTTCTTTCTTTCTTTCTTTCTCTTCCTTCCTTTCTCTCCCTCCCTTTCTTTCTCTTTCTTTCTTCTTTCTCTTTCTCTTCCTACCTTTCTCCCTCCCTTTCTTTCTTCTTTCTCTCTTTCTCTTCCTTTCTCTCTCCCTCCCTCCCTCCCTCCCTCTCTCCCTCCCTTTATCTCTCTCCCTCTCTTTCTTTCTTTCTTTCTCTTCCTTCCTCTTCCTTCCCCCCCTCTCTCTTTCCCTTCCTTCCTTCCTTCCTTCTTTTCTTGACCGTTTTCAAATTGGAATTACGTCCTCTAGAAACGCACAGTATAAATAGCGTGCTTATTTATGCAAACATATCCAGGTTTCCTCTATCTTGAATGTCTGGCGGCAGTTAAAAGCGGAGCTCCTGAGCCTGTTCCGACTGGCGGCCATCAGATTGAAGGGGCTATCCGAAGGACACTTGCTACTAAAATCCCGCTCCTCGCTGGAGGAGCAAGTTTTTCGCCCTCGCAACTGGGCTGTGTGCCTGTTACTGCAACGCGACGCTGACCCGCCCGGAATTTCTTCGTTCTTGCTCCAGCCGTGAATCTGGGTTTCTGCTCAACCTACGCCTTCGAATTTCATCCTTCGGAAGCGGATGATGGGCCTCCTGATTATTGGGCGGCTGCTCTCAAAACGCATTCCTCCCCCTGGAGGAGAGAATCCTTAACGGAGCCTTTGCGCCCCCACTTTCTGCCCGGCTGTCTTGGGGATGATGGGAGGTGTAGTCCGGGCGGGGGTGACCGCCTGGGAGGTTCCCTTGGGCCCTGGACAACCGGCAAAGCTATTTTTAAAGTGGGGGAAGTCCGAAAGTCGGGGGACCCTTCCATGGGACCACTGACCCATTGAAGGGGAGACAGAGGCTGGGCGCATCCTACCACTTGTAGATTTATTTAAAACATTTACATAGCTGCCCAGAGCTGGTTGAAAGGTGGGCGGCTGTATACATCTTTGAAATAAATGAATAACGCGGTATATTCTGGGTGTAAAAAGCCCCCCCCCTCCCGCGATCTGGATGCGGTCTCTTGTTTCCACCGTGCCTAAATACACACACACTGGGAACTGCGCCGGATTCAAAATCCGACGCCCTGCCCGCCTTTGGGAGGGTTGTTCTCTCCGCTGCAAAACGTAACAAAGAAAATGGGACAGAGATAATCCTCCCCTGGCATGTCAAGTCTAGCTGCAAGGTCTCCCCGGTAAGGAGCAGCGGAGCCAGCTTGCTCGAGAAGAAGCCCGCCGTTCAGACGACGCCATCCTCGTGTAAACTACGCCAATCGCGCGATTTCGTCCTTCACCCTCCCTGTGGACAGGTAAGGTGTGTCCACGCAGCCAGACCCAACGGGAGATGAATTGGATTACAGCAGAAATAAATAAATAAATAAATAAATAAATAAATAAATAAAGAAAGACAGAAATATAGAAAGAAAAATAGAAAGAAATAGAAAGAAAAATGGAAAGAAATAGAAAGTTAGAAAGAAATAGAAAGATAGAAATAGAAAGAAATGGAAAAAATAGAAAGAAATAGAAAAAAATAGAAAGAAAAATGGAAAGAAATAGAAAGAAATAGAAACAGAAAGTAAGATAGAAAGATAGAAATAGAAAGAAATAGAAAAAATAGAAAGAAATAGAAAAAATAGAAAGAAATAGAAAGTAAGAAAGATAGAAATAGAAAGAAAGGAAGGAAGATAGAAAGATTGAAAGAGAAAGAGATAGAAAGAAGGAAAGAAGGAAATGTCGGAAGGAAGGGAGGGAGGGAGGGAGAAAAAGATAGAAGGAAAGAAAGAAAGAAAGAAAGAAAGAAAGAAAGAAAAAGAAAGAAAGGAAAAACACTAATAGGGTTTTACTGATAAACAGCTGGAGAAAAAATATCACAAAATCCAAAGACCTGCAAAATAGAAGGACGGTGGCAAAAACAAGGAAAGGCAGTCCCAACAGTGATAGGCGCCTTGGGTGCAGTCCCAAAACATCTGGAGCAGCTCTTGAACACCATCAGGCAGGCATTGACAAACCCACCCTCAGTCAGTTACAAAAGTCAGCTTGACTTCGACCAGCTGACCTCAGGGGGGGTCTCCAAAATTGGCAACTTTAAGACTTGGGGACTTCAACTCCCAGTATTCTCCAGCCAGGCAAGTCTGGAAGTTGGATACCTGGCTTAGATCCTGCAAAGATAATAATAAAGTTGGAAGGGACCTTGGAGGTCTTCTAGTCCAACCCCCTGCTCAGGAAGGAAACCCTATACAATTTCAGACAAATGGCTGTCCAGCCTCTTCTTAAAAATTTCCAGTGTTAGATGCTTCTAACTCCATCAAACGACCACATCTGCCTATCCCAGTTGCTGGAGAAGGACTCCAGAGGTGGACAAAAAAGCCAAATCCAGCCTGAACATCTGGCTGACTGTGCAACAGAACCATCATAATAAGCATCAAGGCATTGACAAATTCCCCACCAGTCAACTGCAAAAGGCAGCCTGACTCGGAACAGCTTACATCCTGCAACGATACTTCTAACCCCATCAAACAACCGCATCTGCCTATCCCAGGATCCTTGGGGTAATATCTAAGCCTAGTCCTGCAATTCCCACGGAATTCTGGGAGCTGAAGTCCAAGCTGAAAGTTGCCGAGGTTGAGAAATTCTGCCTTACGCGAAATCTCATATGGATCTCTGCAACATCACCCCGGGCAGAAGAAGCACAACAACTCACACTAGTTCAGGGGTAGGCAACCTTGGCTCTTTTGTGACTCGTGGACTTCAACTCCCAGAATTCCCGAGCCAGCCATGCTGAGGGGAAAGGGAGAGGTTTCCAAGCTGAGCCGTGCTGGCTCAGGAATTCTGGGAGTTGAAGTCCCCAAGTCATAAAAGAGCCACGGTTGCCTACCTCTGGCCTAGGCCTAGGCCGCTTTCTGACTCGTGGACTTCAATTCCCAGAATTCCTGAGCCAACATGGCTCAGCTTGGAAACCACTCCCTTTCCCCTCAGCATGGCTGGCTTAGGAATTCTGGGAGTTGAAGTCCACGAGTCACAAAAGAGCCAAGCTTGCCTACCCCTGCACTAGTTAGCATCAGACACCTGGTGGAGTTCACACTCCACCAGGGAACCCGAAAGCCCATCATTCCCCAACCTAGCCTATATATGAGGTTGCAACTCCTGTCGTTCTCCGACAGTTTGAGGACTTATGGAAGTTGTAGTTCAACAGTTGGAGGGGCCAACAGCGCCACCTGCCTGTGGTTTTGAGCTTTTCTTCTCAAGCTGCCCCACCCTCTTGGTTGTTAAGTTTTAATCTTTCAGTTCTCATGTTGTTGTTGTTTTTTAGCACTTTTAAACTTTATATTCCATGGTATGGCATCCAGAGTCACTGGATCAGTGAGATGAGTGGCACAGAAATTTAATAGATAAATCATAAATATTAGCCGGGTAGGGCCATGTAGCTGTCAACAAAAGTGCGTATAGTCCAGGCCATGGTTTTCCCAGTTGCAATGTATGGCTGTGAAAGTTGGACCATAAGAAAGGCTGAGCGCCAAAGAATTGAGGCCTTTGAGCTCTGGTGCTGGAGAAGACTCCTGTGAGTCCCCTGGACTGCAAGGCGTTCAAACCGGTCAGTCCTGGAGGAGATCAACCCCGGCTGCTCTTTAGAAGGCCAGATCCTGAAGTTGAAACTCAAGTACTTTGGCCACCTAATGAGAAGGAAGGTCTCACTGGAGAAGGGCCTAATGCTGGGAAAGATGGAGGGCAATAGAAAAAGGGGATGACAGAGAATGAGATGGCTGGATGGAGTCCCTGAAGCAGTAGGTGTGAATTTAAATGGACTCCAGAAGATGGGAGAGGACAGGAAGACCTGGAGGAACGTTGTCCATGGGGTCGCGATGGGTCGGACACGACTTCACAATTAACAACAACAGCAACAAAGGGCCATACAGAGAAACAGTCATTTTCACATGGAAGAAAGTGTGACTTATTTCTAAATTTCATTTTTACGTCTGCGGGTTATAAGCGGCCCCATTTGCAAAAAGGCTGAAGCTTGCAACTGAACTGCTTTGACGGCTCTCTTTTATCCTTTTATTATTGGTTATATCTTTTTTTCCAAATACTGACATGGAAATTATATAAGGTATTCCAGAAGCAGATGCATAACGCATTTACATGTTGGGCTGGCAATTTTGGCAAGATAACAGAATTGGAACAGACCTTGGAGGTGGAGGACTAACAGGGAGAAAGGAGAGTCGACGGTAGCTGAATCGCCTCTGTTCTTATTTATTTGTATCCCATCTTTATTATTTTTTACAGATAAGGCAGTGAACATCTCCAACATGTCTTCCTATTTTGCCCACAACGACAACCCTGTGAGGTTGGTTGGGCTGAGAGAGAGTGACTGGCCCAAAGTCACCCAATGGCTTTCAGGCCTAAGGCAGGACTAGAACTCACCGTCTCCTGGTGATTGGCCCAAAGTCACCCAGTTGGCTTTCAGGCCTAAGGCAGGACTAGAACTCACCGTCTCCTGGTGATTGGCACAGTCACCCAGCCGGTTTTCATGCCTAAGGCAGAACTAGAACTTACGGTCTCCTGATGATTGGCCCAAAGTCACCCAGTTGGCTTTCAGGCCTAAGGCAGGACTAGAACTCTCCATCTGCTGGTATTTGGCCTAAATTCACCCAGCTGGCTTACAGGCCTAAGGCAGAACTAGAACTCAGGATCTTCTGGTGATTGGCCCAAAGTCACCCAGCTGGCGTTCCTGGCTAAGACAGGACTACAATCCACAGTCTCTGGTTTTCTAGCGTGGGGCTTGGTTCTCATTTAAAAAAAGCAAAACAAAAATGAATTTGGATTTGAACATGTCGCACGGGTGGAAATCGTTGTGTTTGGCAAATACTGTCGCGCTCAAGAGGGAGATAAAGAGAGCCTTGGGGCCAGGATGGAGTCAAGATTCGAAAGGCCTTCAGACAGACAGAACTCCCCCCCCCTTTTGTCCAGCTTGATCAGCCCAGGTTTGGCCCGCTTGCGCACCCATCTGCAGGTCCTCTCCGTAGGTTCACAAGCTGCTTGTGCAACTGGACTCTGACGCAGCCTCTTTCGGGGCAGCGTCGGCCTTCAAGGTTAGCTTTCGATAGGAGCAGCAGAACCGTCCAGCCGGAGGCGTTTCGGGGTTCTCTCCATTCAGCTGTGGAAAGACCAAGAAAGCTAGTCAGAAGGAGAACCTCAGGCGTCTACTTCAGGGGTAGGCCACCTTGGCTCTTTTATGACTCGTGGACTTCAACTCCCAGAATTCCTGAGCCAGATATGCTGAGGGGAAAGGGAGAGGTTTCCAAACTGAGCCAGGCTGAGTCAGGAATTCTGGGAGTTGAAGTCCATGAGTCATAAAAGGGCCAAGTTTGAAGACCCCTGATCTACAGAATAGAATAACAGAAGCTGGAAGGGGCTATGCTGGCTCAGGAATTCTGGGAGTTGAAGTCCACACGTCATAAAAGAGCCAACGTTGCCTACCCCTGGTCTACTTGAACCAAAGAAAGCTTTTCTGATGCCAAAGCAGACCCCGGGAGAGGGAGCTGGTCACTGTGTCTCTGGATGAATGACTGCTCTGGTCTTAGAATAGAATAGAGCTGGAAAGGACCTTGGAGGTCTTCTAGTCCAACCCCCTGATCAAGCAGGAGACCCTATGCCATTTCCGACAAGGGACTGTCCAGCCTCTTCTTAAAAACCTCCAGTGATGGAGTACCCACAACCTCTGGAGGCAGGTTGTTCCACTGGTTAATTGTTCTCACTGTCAGGAAATTTCTCCTTAGTTTTACTTTGCTTCTGAATAGAATAGAACAGAATAGAATAGAAATAAGGGAATAGAATAGAATAGAATAGAAATAAGGAAACAGAATAGAATAGAATAGAAATAAGGAAACAGAATAGAATAGAATAGAATAGAATAGAATAGAATAGAATAGAATAGAAATAAGGAAATAGAATAGAATAGAATAGAAATAAGGAAACAGAATAGAATAGAATAGAATAGAATAGAATAGAATAGAACAGAATAGAATAGAAATAAGGAAACAGAATAGAATAGAATAGAAATAAGGAAACAGAATAGAATAGAATAGAATAGAATAGAATAGAATAGAACAGAATAGAATAGAAATAAGGGAATAGAATAGAATAGAATAGAAATAAGGAAACAGAATAGAATAGAATAGAAATAAGGAAACAGAATAGAATAGAATAGAATAGAATAGAATAGAATAGAATAGAATAGAATAGAATAGAAATAAGGAAACAGAATAGAATAGAATAGAAATAAGGAAACAGAATAGAATAGAATAGAATAGAATAGAACAGAATAGAATAGAAATAAGGGAATAGAATAGAATAGAATAGAAATAAGGAAACAGAATAGAATAGAATAGAAATAAGGAAACAGAATAGAATAGAATAGAATAGAATAGAATAGAATAGAATAGAATAGAATAGAAATAAGGAAATAGAATAGAATAGAATAGAATAGAATAGAATAGAATAGAAATAAGGAAATAGAATAGAATAGAATAGAATAGAAATAAGGAAATAGAATAGAATAGAAATAAGGAAATAGAATAGAATAGAATAGAATAGAAATAAGGAAGTAGAATAGAATAGAAATAAGGAAATAGAATAGAATAGAATAGAATAGAATAGAAATAAGGAAATAGAATAGAATAGAAATAAGGAAATAGAATAGAATAAAATAGAATAGAATAGAATAGAAATAAGGAAATAGAATAGAATAAAATAGAATAGAATAGAATAGAATTGAGGAAATAGAATAGAATAGAATAGAACAGAACAGAATAGAAATAAGGAAATAGAATAGAATAGAATAGAATAGAATGGGACCTTGGAGGTCTTCTAGTCCAGCCCCCTACTCAAGCAGGAGATCCTCTATCATTCCCAGACAAGTGGCTGTCCAGTCTCTTCTTAAAAACCTCCAGTGATGGAGCACCCATGACTTCTGGAGGCAGGCTGTTCCACTGGTTAATTGTTCTCACTGTCAGGAAAGTTCCAGGTTGCTTCTCTCCTTGATTCCTTTCCATCCATTGTTTCTCTTCTACCCTCTTACATGAAGTGCAACCCATTTTGGTCACCATACTACAAAAAAGATGTTGAGCCCTTGGAAAAAGTTCAGAGAAGAGCAACTAAGATGATCCAAGGCCTGGAGACTAAAACATACGAAGAACGGCTGCAGGACTTGGGTCTGGCTAGTCTAAAGAAAAGAAGACATAAGAGGGACACGATAGCAGTATTCCAGTATTAGCGGGGCTGCCACCAAGAAAAGGGGGGGTCACATTGTTCTCCAAAGCACCAGAGGGCAGGACGAGAAACAATGGTTGGAAATTGACCAAAGAGAGAAGCAACCTGGAATTAAGGAGAAACTTCCTAACAGCGAGGACAATTAACCAGTGGAACAGCTCGCCACCAGAAATTGTGGGCGCTCCATCACTGGAGGTTTTTAAGAAGAGACTGGACAGTCAATTGTCTGAGATGGTACAGGTTTTCATGCTTGAGCAAGGGGTTAGACTAAAAGACTATGACTCGTGGACTTCAACTCCCAGAATTCCTGAGCCAGCCATGACTCTGTTGTTCTGTTTGTCACTCTAACTGAACAAGCCAATACTGAAAAGAAGGCTGTGCAAGCTTTCATTTCATCACCAGGGCCACCACCTTGACCACCTCTTGACCTCTGGATACCTCTGGAAACTAGCGATGGCAATGTTTCTCAACCTTGATCATTTTAAGGCATGTGGACTTCAACTCCCAGAATTCCACAGCCAGCAATGCTGGCTGTGGAATTCTGGGAGTTGAAGTCCACATGCCTTAAAATGGTCAAGGTTGAGAAACGCTGAGCTATGGGAAGGCAGCTGTTGTGTTGATGAAAAGGCTGCCCCAGTTTTGAGTCCAGAGGTATCTTTCTCAGCCTGTAATTTGAGATGGATCTAGAGGCCTCGTCCTTCAAGGCTTTGGTTTTTCTGACCACTGTGGACCTTTTGTGGGCATCTGAGAATTTGAACCAGGAGATCCTCAGATTCCACAGGCAATGTTGATATCTGGGACACCTTGACCACCATTCCCTGGTTCTGGATGTCCAGGGACTTCTAGCTGGCTCTCAAGGCACCTGCTGATGGATGGATGGATGGATGGATTTTGAAGACCATCCAGTTCCTACTTTGGGCGTCTTCTATTCTTACGTTCTCCTGGCCCAACAAACTTGCCAGCCTTTTCAAGGAGGCTGTGCTTTGTCTGGTCAAGATTTCTAGGCCTAAACAGTGACCTTGGGTGCCCAACATCTCCCCACCCCACTCATGATGGAAGGCATCTTCTGAAATCCTTGGCTGATAGCCATATTGCCCTGGAGAGGCTAGGAGAAATTAAATGTTCAGATTATATATTAAAATCCGGCCAACTTCTTTCCGAATGGCCTTCTTCTCTTTCTGAAGCCTGGTGGCCTTCAACCCCGTTGCTTCTACACGGAGAACAAACGGTCAGGAAGTTCTTCCAGATCCAAGCTCTAAGCAAGATTTCTCCCCAGCCGCGAGACGGACCTGGATCACGTCTTCTCTGTTTTCGGCCGGCTGCACCTCCTCCATGCTGCTCTTCTCTTTCATCCACGTTACCCATTTTTGGTACATCCTGCAAAAGATTTATCGGTCAGACGGCACCGTCAGCTATCACCTAGCCGCCAACTCGGATGGTTTTGTCTTGCGAGAATGGGAGACCCCCCAAGGACAGATCGGGCCACCAGGTCAGCTAATGAAGAGTTCTCCAAATGAATGTGAATTTGGGCAAACTCCAGGAGACGCTGGAGGATGGGGGACCTGGCGTACCGTGGTCCATGGGGGTCCTTCACCTAAGGTAGGGAGTCTCCGAACTTAGGCAACTTTAAGACTTGTGGACCAACTCCCCAGCAATGCTGGCTGGCAAATTCTGGGAGTAGAGTAGAGTAGAATAGAATATAGAATATAGAATATAGAATATAGTAGGGTAGGATAGGGTAGAGTAGGGTAGAGTAGAATAGGATAGGATAGGATAGGATAGGATAGGATAGAACAGAACAGAACAGAACAGAACAGAGTAGAGTAGAGTAGAGTAGAGTAGAGTAGAATAGAATATAGAATATAGAATATAGAATATAGAATATAGTAGGGTAGGGTAGGGTAGGGTAGAGTAGGATAGGATAGGATAGAATAGAATAGAATATAGAATAGAATAGAATAGAATAGAATAGAATAGAATAGAATAGAATAGAATAGAATAGAATAGAATAGAATAGAATAGGAATAGAATGGAATGGAATGGAATGGAACGGAACGTATAGAATAGAATGGAATGGAATGGAATGGAAAGAATAGAACAGAACAGAACAGAACAAAACAGAACAGAATCGAGCTGGAAGGGACCTTGGAGGTCTTCTAGTCCAACCCCTTGCTCAAGCAGAAGACCCTACAGCATTTCCAACATTAACCAACCCATCATGGTTATGGGCTAGTTTTTGGCAGAAACCGGTTTCGGGGGGGGGGGAGGTCATATATATCTCAGTCACGTGACCAGGAGACATTGCAAACCTCCATAAATGCCGGTCACGTGACTTGGGGAGAAGCCCTGGGAATTTCAGAACTGGTTCATAAGTACCTTCATAGGGGGTGGGGGGTGTCTGTTGTAACTTGGAATAGCAGCTAAACAACCGGCTGTAATTCGAGGAGTAACTCTATGGGTATAGCTAACCTGACTGTCAGGCTAAAGGGGAGCTTGGGAGGGACTCTGCCCCACTCCTCAAAGACCCCTGCCTCAGTCTCACCGGGAGCCGTTGTTACGCACTCCGAGGATCAGGCCCCCCAGGACAGCTACGCAGACCAAGGCAGTGGCGATCCCAGCCCAGATCTTGAAGATGGTCAGTTCAGAGAGGCCTGCGGGAAAAGAGAAGAAGAGACACGAGTAACAGAGCTGGAAAGGGACCTTGGAGGTCTTCTAGTCCAGCCTCCTGCTCAAGCAGGAGACCCTCTACCATTCTAGACAAGTGGCTATCTAATCCAGCGGTTCTCAACCTTTTTAATGCCGCGACCCCCAACTGGTCGTAAGTCGAGGACTACTCAACCGGTCGTAAGTCGAGGACTACTCAACTGGTGCAGCACCGTTTGCAGAATGGGACTTTTGGCGGGCTCGGCAGGGCAGAGACAGCCTGGACAATTCCTACTGGCTTTTGAAAGCCAATAGAATTGGACTCTATTCAAGAGAGTCTCTTCTCTTGGCTTTCAAAAGCCAATAGAATCAAAGGGAATAGCACAGCTAAGGAAAAGGGGGGAAAAAATGCCAGACTGTGTTGTTTGGCGACCCCCGTGCAATGGTCGTTCGACCTCAAATGGGGTCCCGACCCACAGGTTGAGAACCACTGGATTAGACCTACCCAATTCCAGCCACCGTTCTTTGTATGTTTTCACCTCCAGTCCCCTCATCATCTTTGTTGCTCTTCTCTGCCCTCTTTCTAGAGCCTCAACACCTTTGTAAAGTTCTTCCAAGTTCACTAAGCGAACGCCTGTAAGTCAAGGACTGCCTGTGGGCATCAGCTCAGCTGGCATTGACCCAGCTAGTGAGTCTAGAAGTGGAAGCCTAGCTTCTCCAGAAGTTGCAAATTGGAGCGGTCCAATCCACGATACATCTTCAGCTCTGAAGTCCCCCCCCCTTATCTTCATCCTGTCTCTCTAGGGCAGGGGTCCCCAACCTATGGGCCACCGCCCGCTACCGGACTGCATGAGTGGCTGGGCAGCGTACATGCATGTACGCACCTGCACACCTTCCTCCACTCGCGCTGGCATTGCAGCAAGTGCCGTGTGGGCGCTAGCAATGTGGCGAGAGTCACACTCGCAGCCCCATTTGCGTCACACTCAACGCTCCTTTTGTGTGCGCGCTCACACAGGTGCCTCCCTCCCTCCCCCTTTCCCCCAGGCCACCAACTGACAAAGGTTGCAGAACTCTGCTCTAAGGAGTCCACTTACATCTTGCATTGAAGGCGATGCTGCTGGTTGCATTGCCCAGTGTGTTGCGTGCTTGACACACAAAATGCCCTGAATCTTTGGCGGTGAGGTCCTGTATATCCAGTCTCAGGCTGTTATCAGAGTAGAAGGTGTGGAAACGCTGACCAGCTGGTGACCAGCTTTTGGGGTCAGCCAGTTGACCTCTGTATATGGCCAGGCTGGAAGATGGGTAGCTGTCCACTTTGCAGGTGACGATAGCCAGGTTCCCATTCTGAGTGTCCAGGTAAACGGTCAAGGAGGGCTGTTCAGGCGCATCTACATGAACAAGAACATCGGAGCTTCCTCGGTCAACAGCCAAAGTCATGCGGAGATAAACAACGTTTACGCGCCGTTCCAATGAGACCAACCCAAAAAGCTAAAGGACCACAGCACCTCCTTGCCAGCAATCAACACTCACGTCAGCAGAGGTGAACACCAAGATTAACACCGGATCAAAAATCAAGCAATAAAGAATAACCCAATCAAGGAACGATCCACTCCGGCAAACAATCAAAGGGTAAACAACAGCCTAATCAAGGAATCGCCAAGAACATGCGATTTATTTAATGCTACACATTTTAATGGCTTCCAGACTGGTTTTTGCTCAAAATTGGAGGAATAAGGGAACTCCAACGGAAGAAGAGATCCTGCATATCATGTGCTGAGATGGACAGGCTTACAATGATTCTATCATGTGCTGAGATGGACAGGCTTACAATGATTATGAAAGACAAGACAGAACACGAATACTTTGAAATCTGGGGCAAATTTTACCGTTGGTATGAATTAAGAAATGCTCGGACTTCAAGTTAATGGTAGAATTAAAAGATATACATAACTGTACATATAATTGTATATATAATTGTATTGTATAGAAGATGAGGCTTATATAGAGGTTAAGAACGATGTATTAAACTTTTGTACCATGATAGGAACTGATAGGAAAATTCATTCTGGAATGTCATGTTTGTCCACTGTTGTTTTAATTGTATTATGAATAAAAATTATTATTATTTTTTTTCTTTCTTACCTTTTTTTTTTATTAAAAAGTTTTATAAATTTTACAGAAAATAAAAGACAATACAAAAACAAAAAACAACATATACAAATAAAAAACAAACATTACCCAACAAAACCCCCCTTCCCCCACCCCTACCCAAACCCCCCCTTCCCCCCCCAGGGCCTCCCAGAGCAGAATATAGGCTTAATTAAAAAAAAGTTAAAAAAATTTATATTTATAAAAAAAGAGAATATAAAATAGAAAATATATATATATATAGAGTTAAAAATTATGAAAAAACTATATAGTATTTTTTTATATCAAATTTAAATTGTATGAATTTTATCCATTTATCCCAAACAGCAAGAAATTTCTCTTGCGTTTGACCCTTTAAGAAAGCCGAAATCTTTGCCATTTCCGCCAAATGAGACACTTTAAGAAACCATTCCTGCAATGTAGGCAAAGATTCCTTCTTCCAATATTGTCCTACTAACAGCCTCGCAGCTGTAATCAAATTTAACATCAATATAACCTCCTTTGTATCACAATCAATAACTATACCTAACAAAAATAATTGTGGAGTAAATTTTACCCTCCTTTTAAAAATTCTCTGGATATTCCACCATATCTTAATCCAGAATGCTTTTATCTCTCTACACGACCACCAAATATGATAATAAGTAGCGTCCATACAACCACATCTCCAACATTTAGGTTGTAAGTCAGGGTACATAAAAGACATTTTTTGTGGATCAAGGTGCCATCTATAAAACATTTTATAAAAATTCTCCCTGAATAAAAATTATTACCCACCTAAGTAACATCATCAGTGCTAGAAGGTGGTGGGCGTGTTCTTGGCGATTCCTTTTTTTTTTTTTTAATAATTTTTATTATTAAAAAAAAAAAAAAAGGAATCGCCAAGAACACGCCCACCACCTTCTAGCACTGATGATGTTACTTAGGTGGGTGATGAAATGTCTGTAAGAAAACCACCAAGCTCAGAGAGCATCAAGGACACCATGGTCTCTTTCCTCCTCCTCCTCCTCCTCCTCCTCCTCCTCCTCCTCCTCCTCCTCCTCCTCCTCCTCCTCCTCCTCTTCTCTGCAAACCCCACTCCCTTCTAGCACTGATGATGTTACCTAGTTCGGTGATGAAACGTCTGCAAAGAAACCACCAAGCTCAGAGAGGACCAAGGACCCTACAGTCTCCTCCTCCTCCTCCTCCCCCCCTCCTCCTCCTCCTCTTCTCTGCAAACCCCACTCCCTTCTAGCACTGATGATGTTACCTAGTTTGGTGATGAAACGTCTGCAAGAAAACCACCAAGCTCAGAGAGGACCAAGGACCCCACAGTCTCCTCCTCCTCCTCCTCCTCCTCCTCCTCCTCCTCCTCCTCCTCCTCCTCCTCCTCTAACCTCACTCCCTTCTGGCACTGATGACATTTATCATTCGTAAGGAGGCAAAATTGCACACCACATTCTAAAGCCACAATACTTACAGTGCACCTTCAGACGGACTATGGCTGAGGTCAGGCTGCCTGTTCTTCCAGTTGCCCGGCAGTGGTAGTCACCCTTGTCATCCTTGGTCACCCCGCTCAACAGGAGGGACTGACTGGGGCTATCCCAAAGCCACTGGCTGTTCTTGTACCAGGTGTAATTCATGGGCTCCACTACCTGGCTGGCTATCTCACAGGTCAGGTTGGCTGTAGCACCTTTGGAAACATCTGGGGATGGGTCAACGATGATTCTTGCACCTGAGGAGGTTAAGAGCAGACAAGGGACGCCAATAGCCCAGCCTCTTTGTTGGCTGGTTCTTCTTCTCTTCTCTGCCCTTCTCTCTTCCCTGTGTCGAGAGGACTCTGTTCCCACAACCCACTCGTTGGGTTAAGCTGGGCTAATGTTAATCTGAGTTAGTTGAGGGTGCTGTGCAAGGCAGCTCATCTGGCGAGATCTTCAGCCAGCCTAGCCTGGAGAGTAGAACATGCTTTAATTCAGAAACCGGATTAAGCGTCTTGTGTGAACGCGGCCACGTGGTGGACTGGAACCAGGTTCGGTATGCTGAAACAGTTTCCCGTTGAAAGTCAACCTTGTCGCGCTTTCCGGTTCCAAGGAGACAAGGTTCACCTTGGATAGTGAGACGGGCAGAGTATACTGTACAGTAATTTTAATAAACGGATGGATGGATGAATCAGAAGGAGGAGGAGGAGGAGGAGGACGATGAAGAGAAAGAAAAAGCAGAAGAGAAAAAGAAGCAGAAGACCGCATCCTGCAGAAGAACTTAGTCTACAACTCCCATCATCCTGAGCCACCTAACACACACCACTGGGTTAGAGAACTTTGGCTTACAGTAGAAAGAGGAAGTGTGTGACAGATTTTATCTTCCTGGGCTCCAAGATCACCTCAGATGGGGACTGCAGCCAAGAAATTAAAAGACGCTTGCTCCTGGGGAGGAAAGCTATGGCAAATCTAGACAGCATACTAAAAAGCAGAGACAGCACCCTGCCAACAAACATACACATTGCCAAGGCCATGGTTTTCCCAGTTGCAATGTGTGGCTGTGAAAGGTGGACCCTAAGAAAGGCTGAGCGCCAAAGAATGGAGGCCTTTGAACTCTGGTGCTGGAGAAGACTCCTGCGAGTCCCTTGGACTGCAAGGCGATCCAACCGGTCAGTCCTAGAGGAGATCAACCCTGACTGCTCTTTAGAAGGCCAGATCCTGAAGTTGAAACTCAAATACTTTGGCCACCTAATGAGAAGGAAGGACTCCCTGGAGAAAAGCCTAATGCTGGGAAAGATGGAGGGCAAGAGAAGAAGGGGACGACAGAGAATGAGGGGGCTGGATGGAGTCACTGAAGCAGGAGGCGTGAGCTTCAATGGACTCCAGAAGATGGTAGAGGACAGGAAGACCTGGAGGAACGTCGTCCATGGGGTCGCGACGGGTCGGACACAACTTCGCAACTAACAACAAGAAGAAGAGGAAGAGAGGAGAAGGGAGGGAGGAGGAGAAGAATTACTCACCTGGCACACCGAAGTGTATCGACGCTGCAGAGGTCCCGTAGGTGTTGTTCGCTGTGCAGCGGTATTGTCCCTCGTCCTCCTGAAGGACCTTCTGGATCTCCACTTTCAGGAAGTTGTGAGAGGCCTGAACGACATACCGTTGACCGGGCAAGTTCCCCGAGGTCCTGCTGGAGGCCACCAGCCCTTTTCCTCTGTAGAGCGTCAGCTCCGAGGGTGGGTAGCTCTCCACCACGCACTGCAGGACCGCCTGGTTCCCAGACGGGGTTTCCAGGAAGGAGGTGAGGGTGACCTTCTTCGGCTCGTCTGTGGAGGAGACCAGGTGGAGAACGTCAACCGTGGAAAGGCGAAGCTGCTTCTGGAGCAGGCAGTGGCCACTGGCTGCACCCTGGGATCTGGGGCAGGCAGTCCTCGACTTACAACAATTAATTTAGTGACCGTTCAAAGCTACCGCGGCTGTGAAAAAAAGTGAGCATCTTTCACACCACCACTGCAGCATCCCCAGGGTCACGTGATCCAAATTCGGAGACTTAGCAACTCCTCCTCCTCCTCGTCGTCTATCTTCTCCTTTCTCCCTCCTCCCCCCCCCTCATGTATCTTGTACTTTCTCCCTCCATCCTCCTCCTCCTCCTCTTCCTTGTCTATCTTCTTCTTTCTCCCCCTTCTCCTCCTCCTCCTCCTCCTCCTCCTCCTCCTCTTCCTTGTCTATCTTCTCCTTTCTCCCTCCTCCCCCTTCTCCTCCTCCTCCTTTTCCTCCTCCTCCTTCTTCTTCTTCTCCTCCTCCTCTTCTTCTTCCCTGTCTATCTTCTCCTTTCTCCCTCCTCCCCCTTCTCCTCCTCCTCCTTCTCCTCCTCCTTCTCCTCCTCCTCCTCTTCCTTGTCTATCTTCTCCTTTCTCTCTCCTCCCCTTCTCCTCCTTTTCCTTCTCCTTCTCCTCCCCCTCCTCCTTCTCCTCCTCCTCCTCTTTCTCTTCCTCTTCCTTGTCTATCTTCTCCTTTCTCCCTCCTCCCCTTCTCCTCCCCCTCCTCCTACTTCTCCTCCTCCTCCTCTTTCTCTTCCTCTTCCTTGTCTATCTTCTCCTTTCTCCCTCCTTCCCTTCTCCTCCTCCTCCTTTTCCTCCTCCTTCTTCTCCTCTTTCTTCTCCTTCTCCTCCTCTTCCTCTTCCTTGTCTATCTTCTCCTTTCTCCCTCCTCCCCCTTCCTCCTCTCCTCCTCCTCCTCTCCTCCTCCTCCTCTCCTCCTCCTCTTTCTCCTCCTACTCACTCACTCACTCACTCACTCACTCACTCACTCACGTAGGTGTATATCCATGACCTCAGAGATCAATCATTATAGGGCATGAATGTAAAATAGCACCTCCAGGGCCCCCCCCAAGCTCATCTTGCCAAAAGGGTCCGATCCCCTTTTGAGCCTGGGGACCTCCATACCTGCTGAAGCCCCCACCATCTTCTCCAGCCAATAGTTCAGATTTCCCGGAAGGGCAAAGACAACAGGGCTGAGGAGCGACTGCGACGGGTCTGACAGCGCGTGGGACCCAGCCAGACGGGAAGTTGTGTCCTCCACCACCAAGCCGGAGGTACTCACGGTGCACATAGAGAGTGACGGCTGGAGAGGTCCTGACGCCCCGCTCGTCTCGAACCTGGCACACGTAGGATCCCATGTCCCGGGGAGTAACAGCTCGGAGTAGGAAGGAGGTGGCCGGACCATCTCCCAACCACCTGGCGTCCTTGTACCAGGTGTAGACGGCGGAGGGCTGGGAGCTGGCATCTTGGCAGATCAGAGAGACACGCTGTCCTTCATGCACCTCTGGGGTGGGATCGATCACCAGCCTGATAGCTACGCGGGGAGAAGAACAGTGAAGCTGGAGTAAACCGAGGGCAGATGTCCTCCAGCTCCTCTCAGGCCAAGTCAACAGACGGCGTGAGCGTCCTCAACCATCGCCCCTAAGTGGCCTCCTTCCTACTCTTCTGACCCTTCCCCAAACTTTCAAGCACCTGACAGACCAGAAGGAACACAACCTCCTACAACACAGAGGACCTCTTTCTCCTACGGCAGAGGAGGAAACCAACATGAAGAGGACAAGGGAGGAGAACCGCTTGTTCTTATTGTCCAATTAACCAGTGGAACAGCTTGCCACCAGAAGTTGTGGGTGCTCCATCACTGGAGGTTTTCAAGAAGAAATTGGACAGCCCCTTGTTTGGAATGGGAGAGGGTCTCCTCCTTGAGCAAGTGGTCAGACTAGAGGACCTCCAGGGTCCCTTTCAACTCTGTTATTCTATGGCAGGGCTTTTCAACCAGTGGTACGGGTACCAGCTGTGGTCCATGGGCACCTGGCAGGTGGTACGTGACCATCCTAGAAAAGGGGTAGCGGGGGAGGGGAATGGGCTGAACCGGGGGCAGCACCGCACAAGCCCGAGCGAGAGACGGCTGGAGCTGCAGGGCTGTCAGGGCTCAGCGGAAGCGCCAGGATCAGTGCCGCTTTCCAGCTGATCCGCACTTCTTTGGGACTGTCGGGGCTCAGCGGAAGCATCAGGATCAGCGCCGCTTTCCAGCTGATCGGTGCTTCTTCAGGGCTGTCAGGGCTCAGCGGAAGCGCCAGGATCAGCGCCAGGCTCCAGCTGGACCGCAGTGCTGATCCTGGTGCTTCCGCTGAGCCCAGAAGAAGCACCGATCAGCTGGAATGTTGCAGCCTCTCCAGGCTCTTGTGATTTCCATTCAGATGCTTGGCCACTGATTCGTATTTATGATGGTCCCAGTGTCCAGGGTCATGTGAAGGGACCAAAACCTGCTGCAACCACCCAGCAGACGGGGGGAATAAAAACCAAACACCCCCCACCCACCCCCGCTGCCAATCCTCAACAGAAATGGCCACAACAATGAAAACCTCGGACAGGAGGAAGAGCGCCACTGGGCAGGCAGGCAGGTGTCTTGCTCGGCTGTGGCTTGGGGGGGCCTTTTTTCAGTGCCATTGTAACTTCGAACAGTCACTAAGCGAACTGTTGTAAGTCGAGGACTACCTGTACTTCATCACTTTTTTCCTTTTTTTTGGTCATTAAGTTTTTGACACCTGGCTAGGCGACTGGGTACAATGGGTTGAAAAGCCCTCTTCTATGTTATACAGATAATTCTCGACTTACGACATTTAGTGACCGTTCAAACTTACAACGGCACCGGAAACCGTGACTTACGACCGCTTTTCACACTTACAACTGTGGCAGCCTCCCCACGGTCACGGGATCAACATTTGGACGCTTGGCAACTGACTCGTCTTTACGACGGTCGCCGTGTCGTGGGATCACGTGATCCCCATTGGCGATCTTCTGATAAAAGAAAGTCAAGGGGGGGGGAGGAAGCCACATTCGCTTAACGCCCGTGGGACTAACTTAAGAGCTGCAATTATTCACTTCACAACGGTAGCAAGAAAGGTCGTAACGTGGGGCCGACGCTCACCGAAGGAGCGTCTCGCTTAGCAGGATAAATTTGGGGCTTGAGGGCAGTCGTAACTCCGGGGACGACCCACAGGTCCTCAGCCTGAGCCCAGCTACTCACTCCCCACGGAGAGGTTGAAAGACGCGTGGGCTTCGCCGAGGGAGTTTTCCGCCCAGCACTCGTAGCTCCCTTCATCGTCCAGGTTGACGTCTTTGATCTCCAGCCTCAAGGAATTTGGGGAGGAAGCAGCCCTGAGCTTCAGGCCTGGCCCCCCACGGACTTTGGAGGAGCTGGACGCCAAGACTTGGCCAGCACGACGGAGGGACAGCGCAGACGGCGGGTTGCTCTGGACGGTGCACAGGACGATGGCCACTTGGCCCTTCTGGGTCTCCAAGAAGGATTCAACCAGCACGTTCCTGGGTGGATCTTCCGGAAAAAAAAAGGAGAGAGAGATCAGGCCGTGGATATGTCAGAGAGGGACGGACCTCCTAGAGTTGAGAGAGACCTTGGGGGATGCCTAGTTCAACCCCCTGCCTGGAGAAGAAGCTGAGAACATCCTGAACCAGTGACGGAACACCCGCAACTTCAGGAGGCATGGGCTACGTGACGGGTTCAGTTACTGACACCTGGTGTTTCTTGACTCATGCCCAGGATGATGTGGCAAGGAAGAGAAGGACGAGGGGGGGACAGGAGAGCAGTCTTCCAGTATCTCAGGGGCTGCCCCAAAGAAGAGGGAGTCAAGCTCTTCTCCAAAGCGCCTGAAGGCAGGAGAAGAAGCAACGGGTGGAAACTAATCAAGGAGAGAAGCAACCTGGAATGAAGGAGAAATTTCCTGACAGAACAATTAGCCAGTGGAACAACCTGCCTCCAGAAGCGGTGAATGCTCCAACACTGGAAGTTTTTAAGAAGAGACTGGACAGCCCTTTGTCCGAAATGGTATAGGGTTTCCTGCCTGAGCAGGGGGTTGGACTAGATGACCTCCAAGGTCCCTTCCAACATTATTGTTGTTGTTGTTGTTGTTGTTATGGATCATCGCACAGTCAGCCAGATGTTCAGACTGGATTTGGCATTTTGTCTACCTAAAAAAAATTATTATTTTGTCTACCTAAATATTATTATTATTATTATTATCATCATCATCATCATCATCATCATTATCATCATCATCATCATCAAGCTATTCTCCAAAGCACCTGAAGGCAGGACAAGAAGCAATGGGTGGAAACTAATCAAGGAGAGAAGCAACCTAGAACTAAGGAGAAACTTCCTGACAATGAGAACAATTAACCAGTGGAACCACCTGCCTCCAGAAGCAGTGAATGCTCCAACACTGGAAGTTTTTAAGAAGAGACTGGACAGCCCTTTGTCCGAAATGGTATAGGGTTTCCTGCCTGAGCAGGGGGTTGGACTAGATGACCTCCAAGGTCCCTTCCAACTTTATTATCATCATCATCATCATCATCATCATCATCATCATCATCATGAGGTGACCAGCAGGTACCACCAGTGGTGGGATTCAGCCAGTTTGCACCACTTTGGCTGAACTGGTAGCTAATTTTTTGTTGCCCAGGCCCAGAATGGACTTCCGGAAGCAGCATCCACAACAGAGAACCGGTTCTTTGCATACTTGAATCCCAGCACTGGGTATCACCCAGTGGTGGTCTTGGCAGAGACTGGAGGAGAAGGAGGAACGTTGACGAAAAGGGCCTTGTCTTAGATGCACATAGAGAATAGGTGGTATCTGGTTGAACAGCTGTAATTTAGACAGGGATCTCGGTGTCCTAGTGGACAATCGCTTAAATATAAGCCAGAACTGTGTGGCTGCTGCCAAAAAGGCCATTAAGAGAGGGATAGAATCAAGATCACGTGAAGGGTTAATACCGCTTTACAAAGCCTGGTAAGGCCACACTTGGAATACGGCATCCAGTTTTGGTCACCACGATGTAAAAAAGATGTTGAGACTCTAGAAAGAGTGCAGAGAAGAGCAACAAAGATGATTAGGGGACTGGAGGCTAAAACATACAAGGGACGGTTGCTGGAATTGGGTCTGTCTAGTTTAATGAAGAGAAGGATGAGGGGGGACAGGATAGCAGTGTTCCAGTATTTGAGGGGCTGCCACAAAGAAGGGGGGGGTGTCCACCTATTCTCCAAAGCACCTGAAGGCAGGACAGGATGGAATTCAATCAAGGAGAGAAGCACCCTGGAATTAAGGAATTCCCTGAGGGTGAGAACAATTAATCACTAGAACAGCTTGCCTCCAGAAGTTGCGGATATTTCACCACTGGAGGTTTTTAACAAGAGACTGGGCCACCATTTGCCTGAAATGGTATAAGGTCCCAAGCAGGCATTTGGACTAGGTCTCTTCTAACCCCGTTGTCCGGTGAAGTAGGTAACACCGTAAGTGCTAGTTTGCCCTAGCACTGATGATATTACCTAGTTGGGTAATGAAACATCTGCAAGAAAATAAGATCAAGGATCCCACAGTCCTCCTCCTCCCCCTCCTCCTTCTCCTCCTCCCCCTCCTCCTCCTCTCTTCAAACCCCTATCCCTTCTAGCACTGATGATGTTACCTAGTTGGGTCATGAAATGTCTGCAAGAAAACCACCCAGCTCAGAGAGCACCAAGGACCCCACAGTCCTTTTCCTCGCCCCCCTCCTCCTCCTCCTCCTCCTCCTCCTCTCTGTAAACTCCACTCCCTTCTAACACTGGTAGTGTTACCAAGTTCGTTAATGAAATATTTGCAGGAAAAAACCAAGGTCAGAGAGCACCAAGGACCCCACAGTCCTCTTCCTCCTCCTCCTCCTCCTCCTCTCCTCTTCCTCCACGCCGCAACCCTTCCTCCCTTCTAGCACTGTTGATGTTACCTAGTTGGGTCATGAAACGTCTGCAAGAAAACCACCCAGCTCAGAGAGGACCAAGGACCCCACAGTCCTTTTCCTCACCTCCTCCTCCTCCTCCTCCTCTTCCTCCTCCTCCTCCTCCTCCTCCTCCCCCCTTCCCCTTTCTCCTCCTCCTCCTGACAAACCCCACTCCCTTCTGGCACTGATGATGTTACCCAGTTGGGCCACGAAACATCTGCAAGAAAACCACCCAGCTCAGAGAGCACCAAGGACCCCACAGTCCACCTCCTCCTCCTCCTCCTCCTCCCTGCAAACCCCATCCCTTCCAGCCCTGGTAGCGTTACCAAGTTCGTTAATGAAACGTCTGCAGGAAAACCACCCAGCTCAGAGAGCACCAAGGACCCAAAGCAGGTATCCTGAAAAGGACACCATTTCTCCAGCAGCTCCCTCATCCTAAGGACAGGAAGGCGCCAGTTGCCTTAGGGAAGCAGATTGCAGAAAGCCCTCTTTTTCGAACCCAGCCCTCCCCCAGGACCTACAGAGGACATTCAAGGTGCTTAAGGAGGAGTTCCGCATCCTCTCCCGGGTATGGACCGTGCAGTAGTAGCTGCCCGCGTCTTCTACGGTGGCCTGGTGGAACACCAGCGTCCTGACCAAGCCGTCTGCATACCACTCGTTGTTCTTAAACCAGGTGTAGCGCATCTCCTCCTGGGCGTCACTGTCCACTGCACAGGTCAGGTTGACGGAGTTGCCCTCCAGGGCGTCTGGAGGGGAAATCCAGAGCTTTGCAGCTAGAAGGAGAGAAGGGAGAGAAGACTTGCTACCGGCACAAAATGGCTGGGGAGATTTTTTCTGAAATGTTTCTGGATTTATATTCGGGGATTTAGCCAGAGGCAGAGTGGCAAATGGTTCCTTAACCAGCCCCCCCTTGAAATAGTTGGGTCTTGCAAAATCAGAAGGAAGGCAACAGGGCGAAGTGCTGGTTTGGATTCCAGACGTTCGTGTCATTTTAGGACATGCATTTATTTATTATGAAAATAAGAAAGGCCGAGCGCCAAAGAATGGAGGCCTTGGAACTTGGAATGCGCCGAGGTGGCGCAGCAGTTAGAGTGCAGTACTGCAGGCCACTTTAGCTGACTGTGTTCAGCAGGTCAGCGGTTCAAATCTCACCGGCTCAAGGTTGACTCAGCCTCCCATCCTTCCGGGGTAGGTAAAATGAGGACCCAGATTGTTGGGGGCAATGTAAATATATATATATACATTGCTTACTGGTGTACACCGCTTAGAGAGTGCTTGCACTTAAAAAAACGGTATATAAGTCTCATAAATAAATAAATAAATAAACTCTGGGGCTGGAGAAGACTCCTGCGAGTCCCCTGGACTGCAAGGCGATCCAACTGGTCGGTCCTAGAGGAGATCAACCCCGACTGCTCTTGAGAAGGCCAGATCCTGAAGTTGAAACTCAAGTCCTTTGGCCACCTAATGAGAAGGAAGGACTCCCTGGAGAAGAAGGGCCTGATGCTGGGAAAGATGGAGGGCAAGAGAAGAACGGGACGACAGAGAAGGAAGGGGCTGGATGGAGTCCCTGAAGCAGCAGGTGTGAACTTCAATGGACTCCAGAAGATGGTAGAGGACAGGAAGACCTGGAGGAACGTGGTCCATGGGGTCGCGATGGGTCGGACACGACTTCGCAACTAACAACAACAATTTATTACATTTATACGCAGTGGTGGGATTCAGCCAGTTCCCATCACTTCAGTGGAACGGTAGCTAATTTTTTGTTGCCCAGGCCCAGAATGGACTTCCGGAAGCGACATCCACACACAGAGAACCGGGGATTCACCTATTTGAATCCCACCACTGTTTATATGCACCCCCCCACATCTCACTCTCGAAATGACTCTGGGTGGCTTATCTGTCAACACTGGGGTGTAACTTTCATTTTTCGTGTTTGTTCTCCTCAGCTGGAAAGTTTTTGTCCTTTGTGGAATAGAGAAACCAAAAGAAACACCACCTCCTCCCGGGCGGGGAGGGGATAGGAAGAAGAGGAGGAAGAGGTGAAGGACCACTGTAGGGTCCTTGATGCTCTCCGAGGTTGGTTGCTTTCTTGAAGACATCTCATTACCCAACTCTGTAACATCATCAGGGCTAGAAGGACTGGGCTTGGCCCTCTGTTTATATATAAGTGGCTAACCTTACTCTCTTCTAATATTACCTAGTTGGGTCATGAAACATCTGCAAGAGAACTCCTCCTCCTCCTCCTCCTCTCTGCAAACCCAACTCCTTTTTAGCACTGATGCTATTACCTAGTTGGGTCATGAAACGTCTGCAAGAAAATCACCCAGCTCAGAGAACATAAAGGACTCCACAGTCCTCCTCCACCTCCTCCTCCTCCTCCTCCTCCTCCTCCTCCTCCTCCTCCTTCCTCACCACTCCCTTCCAGCACTGATGATGTTCCCTAGTTGGGTCATGAAACATCTGCAAGAAAACCACCCAGTTCAGAGAACATAACGGACCCCACAGTCCTTCTCCTCCTCCTCCTCCTCCTCCTCCTCCTCCTCCTCCTCCTCCTCCTCCTCCTCCTCCTCCTCCTCCTCCTCTCCACACATCCCACTCCTTTTTGCACTAATGATGTTACCTACTTGGGTTATGAAACATCTGCATGAAAACAACTGAACTGAAGTAAAATCCTTTCTCGAATTCAACTGGCATCCAGGCCGCTTATGGACGAGGTCAAAATGCATTTGTCCACACGCCTCTCCAACTGCCCCATGGGAGGCTGTGATTTCTGGGTGCAAGGCTTTCTGGGGTGCCCTGAGCTCTGCACGGTCCTTTCCCAGAAGCTGCCGAGAAAACCAGACGTCCCTGCTACTCACCCTCTGCTCTGAAGGTGACCCTGGCGCTCCCGTTGCCGTGTTGGTTGCTTGCAAAACACACGTATTCCCCTTCGTCTTCCATCACCACGTCCCAGATCTCCACCCTCAGGCTGTTGTAGGTGGCGGAGGTCTTCACGCGCGGCGGGTGGGCGAGAGCGGAGTCCGTGCTGGAGGCCAAGAGCTGCTGGCCTTTGCGTATGGCGAGGTGGGCCTGGGGGTCGCTCTCCACCGTGCAGAGGAGGACGGCCACCCGGTTGCCTTGCGTCTCAAGGAAAGCCGTGATCTGGGGGTTCCCAGGGGGGTCTATGTGGGAAAAAATTAAACATCCTGATTGCAGAAGCCAGGGATGCATGGAATCCCAAAGGTGGGTGCCAACCTCCGGATCGAATATCCAAATAAAAAGTCCAGGGTCACTTTAATTTCTGGAAAGCTTACTGGTTTATTGAATACATGGCCTGGTATCGGCAAAGGAAAACTAACTCTAAAATCCCAAGGCAACTAACCATAGCATATAACGATAATGTTCCCAGCCAAAATCCCCCAGATATCCATGTAGCTCATGGGAATGGAATAGAATAGATTAGAATAGAAAATATAGAATAAGGAATAGAATAGAATAGAATAGAATAAAATAGAATAGAAATAGAAATAGAAAATGGATAGGATAGGATAGAACAGAAATAGAAATAGAAATAATAGAAATAGAAATGGAATAGGAATAGAAAATGGATAGGATAGGATGGGATGGGATAGAATAGAATATGATAGGATAGGATAGGATAGGATAGGATAGGATAGAATAGAATAGAATAGGAATAGAAATAGAAATAGAAATAGAAATAGAAAATGGATAGGATAGGATAGAACAGAAATAGAAATAGAAATAATAGAAATAGAAATGGAAATGGAATAGGAATAGAAAATGGATAGAATAGGATGGGATGGGATAGAATAGAATAGAATAGAATAGAATAGAATAGAATAGAATAGAATAGAATAGAATAGAATAATAGAATGAAGTAATAGAATAGAATAGAATAATAGAATGAAGTAGAAGAATAGAATAGAATAGAATAAAATAATGAGAATAGAATAGAATAGAATAATGAGAATAGAATAGAATAGAATAGAATAGAATAGAATAGAATAGAATAGAATAGAATAGAATAGAATAGAATAGAAGCTGGAAGGAACCTTGGAGGTCTTCTAGTCCAGCCCCCCCCCTCCGCTCAAGCAGGAGAACTTATACCATCTCAGGTAAGTGACTGTCTAGTCTCTTCTTAAAAACCTTCAGTAATGGAGTTTCCCACGATTTCTGGAGGCAGGCTGTTCCACTGGTTAATTGTCCTCCCTGTCAGGAAGTTTCTCCTTAATTCCAGGTTGCTTCTCTCCTTGATCAGTTTCCATCCGTTGCTTCTTGTCTGCCCTTCTGCTGCTTTGGAGAATAATTTGACCCCCTCCTGTTCTTCGTGGCAGCCCCTCAAATACTGGAATAATTGCTATCATGTTCTAGAATCTAGATCTAGAATGTCCCTGAAAAGCTTCCAGATAGCCTCTCAGCAAAGTAAGCCAATAGCACCACCTGCTGGCCATAGAAAGCACAGCCTGGAATCGGTTTTCTATGGATTTATACATCTTTAGCTGGGGACAGGCCCAGCTGTTTGGGGGGGGGGAGGCATGCTGGGATGTAGGAAGACCCCCCCACCTTCCTTATTCTGGCTTCATCTTTCCCAAGGGGGTGCTCTAAGGCAGGTTTCCGTGGAAGAGCAGAGCTTGAGGCAGGCAAACGCGCCCTGAATTCTGCCTAAAATCAGCTTTCCCAACCGTGTATTTGGGACTACAACTTCCAGACTCCCCAGCCAGCCAGTTTCCTACCCCTTGAGTCGAGAATCTAGACAGAATGCAGAAAAGAGCAACAAAGATGATGAAGGGGCTGGCTGGAGGCTAAAACATAACGAAGAACGGCTGCAGGAATTGGGGATGTCTAATTTAGCAAAAAGGAGGACTAGAAGTGATACGAGAGCAAGTCTTCCAATATTTGAGGGGCTGCCCCAAAGAAGAGGTGGGGGTGTCAATTTGTTCTCCAAAGCCCCCCGGACAAGAAGCAACGGATGAAAACTATTCAAGGAGAGAAGCAATCTAGAACGAAGGAAAAAAATCTTGTCAATGAGAACACTTCACCAGTGGAACGGCTTGCCACCAGAAATTATGGGTGCTTCCTCATTGGAGGCTTTTTTAGGAAGAGATTGGACAAGCATTTATCTGAAATGGTCTAGGCCAGGGGTGGGCAACCTTGGCTCTTTTATGACTGGTAGACTTCAACTCCCAGAATTCCTGAGCCAGCCATGCTGAGGGGAAAGGGAGAGGTTTCCAAGCTGAGCCATGGTGGCTCAGGAATTCTGGGAGTTGAAGTCCACCAGTCATGAAGGGGCTAAAGTTTCCCTCATGCTGGCTCAGGAATTCTGGGAGTTGAAGTCCACCAGTCATGAGGGGGCCATAGTTCCCCCATGCTGGCTCAGGAATTCTGGGAGTTGAAGTCATAAAGCAGCCTAGGCCTTAGGCCAGGGGTAGGCAACCTTGGCTCTGATGACTCGTGGACTTCAACTCCCAGAATTCCTGAGCCAGCCATGCTGAGGGCAAAGGGAGCGGTTTCCAAGCTGAGCCATGCTGGCTCAGGAATTCTGGGAGTTGAAGTCCACGAGTCATAAAAGAGCCAAGGTTGCCTACCCCTGGTATAGGGTCTCCTATGTGAGCCGGGGGTTGGACTAGAAGACCTCCAAGGTCCCTTCTAAGTCTATTATTCTATTTATTACTCTGACTGGGTGGTTCTACAAATTCTGACCAAGACGGCTCTGTGAATACATCACGGGGGCCCCCATCTTGACACCTCTTGACCTCCAGATACCCTTGGAAGGCAGCTGTGGGAAGGCAGCTGGGAAAGGCACCTCGGAGGTCCTCTAGTCCAACCCCCTGATGGAGCGAGACACCCTCTACTATGGCATCCCAATCAAGTGGCTGTCCAATCTCTTCTTCAAAGCCTCCAGCATTGGAGCGCCTCCAGCTTCTGGAGGCAGGTAGTTCCGCTGGCTAATTGTTCTCGCCGTTCATGGGGAGGCTCCCCCGCTGTCAGGTCCAGAGGTACCTTTCCCAGCCTGTAATCGGAGAGGGATGTGGAGACAAACCAGCCCTTTGGCACTTACAAAAGACGGTCAGGCTGACCGACGGGGAGATGCTGACGCTGCTCTCCTCGCTGGTCTGGGCTTTGCAGTAGTAGGCTCCGGCGTGCAGGCGGGTGACGGGCAGGAGGGCCAGGGTGCCCTTGGCCTCCTCTCGGAGGCGTTTGCTGTTCCGGTACCAGGAGAAGCTGGCATCCTCCGGGAGGCTCCCCATCACGTCACAGGTGAGGCTGACCTGGTCCCCTTCGACCACCTCTGGGGAGGGCGTGATCAGAATCCGGGCCGCTGCATCCCAGGAGGGAGGGGATAATAGGAAAATGGAAGGACATGTTGAGGAATAACCTGGAGGAAAGGCAAGCTTGCACTTAGAAGAAAGAGAGGGGGAGAGAGGGGGAGGGAAGAGAGGAAGAGAGAGGGGGAAGGAAAGGGGAGGGGAGGGGAGGGGAGGGAGTAAATGACCATAAGCGAAGGGGAAATTATCTACATCTATCTATCTATCTATCTATCTATCTATCTATCTATCTATCTATCTATCTATCTATCCATCCATCCATCTATCATCCATCCATATCTGTCTGTATCTGTCTATCTATCTCTCCACTTATCATCCATCCATCCATCCATCCATGTCATGTCTTGTCTTGTCTTGTCTGCCTGCCTGCCTGCCTGCCTGCCTGCCTGCCTATCTATCTATCTATCTATCTATCTATCTATCTATCTATCTATCTATCTATCTATCTAGCTATCTAAATATTTATCTATTTATCTATCTATTTTCTCATCTTTTTCTGTCTATCTATCTATCTATCTATCTATCTATCTATCTATCTATCTATCTATCTATCTAAATATTTATCTATTTACCTACTTTCTCATCTTTATCTTCTCATCTCTATCTATCTATCTATCTATCTATCTATCTATCTATCTATCTATCTATCTATCTATCTATTTATCTATTTATCTACTTTCTCATCTTTATCTATCTTCTCATCTCTATCTATCTATCTATCTATCTATCTATCTATCTATCTATCTATCATCCATATCTGTCTGTCTATCTATCTCTCCACCTATCATCCATCCATCCATGTCTTGTCTGCCTGCCTGCCTGTCTACCTGCCTATCTACCTACCTACCTACCTATCTAAATCTATCTATCTATCTATCTATCTATCTATCTATCTATCTATCTATCTATCTATTTTCTCATCTTTATCTGTCTAGTCTGTCTATCTATCTATCTATCTATCTATCTATCTATCTATCTACTCATCTTTATCTATCTATCTATCTACTCATATCTATCTATCTATCTATCATCTATCTATCATCTATCTATCTATCTATCTATCTATCTATCTATCTATCTATCCTCATCTTTATCTATCTATTATCTGTCTGCTCTCTCTCTCTTATTACTATTAAATTGTAAACACTGTTCAAAAACCATAATACAGGCAGTCCTCGACTTACAACTTCAATTGAGCCCAAAATTTCAGCCGCTAAGCGAGACGGCCGTTAAGTGAATGTTGCCCCATTTTGCAATCTTTCTTGCCCCAGTCGTTAAGCGAATCCCACTGATTTGCCTGGTCAGAAGGTCACCCAAAGGGATGATTGCATGGTCTCCCCCGGGACACTATGACCGCCATAACTACCAGCCCGTGGCCCAGCGTCCGAACTTCGATCTCGTGACCCCATGGGGATGCCGCCACACTCTTAAGAGTGGAAAGCGACCCTAAGTCCCTTTTTTTCAGCGCCGTTGTAACTTTGAACGGTCACTAAACGAACGGTTGTTAAGGTGAGGACTCGCTGTAAAGACGTGTGAATTTGGGGTGAGGGTCAGTTTTTTCCCCCTTCCCTCCGAGGCTAACAAACGCAACCCTCACTTTGCACCCGAAAGTAGAGCCGTCGGGAGGCGGATCCGTGGGCGTTGGTGGCCGTCACGTTGTAGCTCCCTTCATCTTCCGGCATCACCCTGGTCATCTCCACCCGCAGGGTGCCGGGCCCGGTCGTGACACTGACCCGACGGGAGGCCGGCTCATCCTTCTCGCCGCTGGTGGCCAAGACAGCGTCTCCTTTGTACAGGACCCACGTGGCGGGAGGATGGCTGTCCACCGAACACTGGAAGATGGCCACGGTTCCTCTCTCGGTCTCCGTGAAAACCGACACGTGGAGGTTCCTCGGAGCGTCTGAAAGCAGAGACCGCCCTTAATTATGGGGGCACGACGTCCACATCGGGTGGGAAACGTCAAAAAAGACGCGGAGAGTTTGGAAAAAGTTCAGAGAAGAGCAACTAAGGGGATCCAAGGCCTGGAGACTAAAATATACAAAGAACGGCTGCGGGACTTGGGTTTGGCTAGTCTAGAGAAAAGAAGAAATAGGGGGGACACGATAGCAGAGTTCCAGTTTTTGGGGGGCTGCCACAAAGAAGAGGGGATCACCTTATTCACCAAAGCACCAGAGGGCAGGACGAGAAACAATGGTTGGAAACTGATCAAGGAGAGAAGCAACCTGGAATTAAGGAGAAACTTCCGGAGGAAAATCAACCAGTGGAACAGAAGTTGCCTTCAGAAGTTGTGGGTGCTCCATCACTGGAGGTTATTAAGGACAGCCATTTGTCTGAAATGGTCTAGGGCTGGGGTAGGCCACCTTGGCTCTTTTATGACTTGTGGACTTCAACTCCCAGAATTCCTCAGTCAGCCACGCTGAGGGGAAAGGGAGGTTTCCAAGCTGAGCCAGGCTGGCTCAGGAATTCTGGGAGTTGAAGTCCACGAGTCATAAAAGAGCCAAGGTTGCCTACCCCTGAACTAGGCCTAGGCCCCTTAATGACTCATGGACTTCAACTCCCAGAATTCCTGAGCCAGCATGGGGGAACTATGGCCCCTTCATGACTTGTGGACTTTAACTCCCAGAATTCCTGAGCCAGCATGGCTCAGCTTGGAAACCTCTCCCTTTCCCCTCAGCGTGGCTGGCTCAGGAATTCTGGGAGTTGGTCCACGAGTCATAAAAGAGCCAAGGTTGCCTACCCCTGGCCTAGGGTCTCCTGCTTGAGCGGGGGGTTGGACTAGAAGACCTCCAAGGTCCCTTCCAGCTCTGCTATTCTATTACTCTAATAATAATGTGCACCAGTCACGTGCACCAGAGATTTCTGAAAATAAAGGAGCTTGTAAAGGGATTTAGAACCGATTTTCAGGAAGGTATGAAAAACAATAAGCATTATGGAGAGACTTGGAGAAGACATGTGGACACATTTCTTCAACCCTGACCACTTTAAGAGGTGCAGGCAATCCTCAACGTACGACCACCGTTGAGCCCAAAATGTACGTTGCCAAGTGAGACATTCGTTAAATGAGTTTTGCCCCCATTTTACGATCTTTCCTGCCTCCGTTGTTAAGTGAATCCCTGCAGCTGTTAAATTAGTCACCCGGTTGTTAAGTGAATCCGGCTTCCCCATGGAAGGTTGCAAAAGGGATCACGGGACACACTCACACCCCGGAACGCTGCGACCGTCATCAACACGGAAACCCTACATCATTTGAAATGGTGTAGGGTTTCTTAAAATGGTGTAGGGTTTCCTGCCTGAGCAGGGGGTTGGACTAGATGACCTCCAAGGTCCCTTCCAACTTTACCACTACTATTATTATTATTATTATTATTATCATTAACAGAAGTCAGTAGCCAAGCGTCTGAATTTTGATCATCCCGTGACCGCAGGGATACCACGACGGCCGTAAAGTGTGAAAAACGGTTATTGTATCGAGTTTTTATAAAACTTTTTTCCCCCTGGCGTCGTAACTTTGAACGGTCCCTAAACGAAGCGAGTCGGGAAGGGTGGGACTCTTACACAGCACAGAGAGGGAAGCCGAACTGGACGTCTTGCTGACTCCGTGATAGTCCACTCGGCACTGATATGCTCCGGCGTCCTCCAGGGCCACGTGTTCGAGGACCAGGGAATCCCCAGAGACCCCCGGGAGACGGAGGCCCCCCTTGAACCAGGAGTAGTTAGCCGAGGCTGAGAGGTTGCCGCTGAGGACGCAGGAGAGGCGGACGGCGTGGTCTTCGTGGACCTCCGGAGAGGGGGTGATGGTGATGCTGGCGGCTGAAGATTGGTGGGATGGAAGAAGAAGGGAAGGGAAGAAGGAGAATGGAAGAAGCGTCACTCATGGGGCCAAACCGTCCTTTTAAAGGAGCCGTGTCTTTGCCATTTGGCAACCGATTCCCTTGTGAGATCCTGGCAAAAGACATCCACTTTTTCCCCTCTGCGGTAGCAGGTGGGGCCCTTGGTGCTCTCTGAGCTGGGTGGTTTTTCTTGCGGACATTTCATTACCCAACTGGGGGACATCATCATTGCTAGAAGGAAGGGGGTATGTGGAGAGGAGAGGAGGAGGAGGAGGAGGAGGAGGAGGAGGAGGAGGAGGAGGAGGAGGAGGAGGAGGAGGAGGAAAAAGACCATGGGGTCCTTGGTGCTCTCTGAGCTAGATGGTTTTCTTGCAAACGTTTTATTACCCAACTATGGAACATCATCAGTGCTAGAAGGAAGGGGGGTTTGCAGAGAGGAGGAGGAGGAGGAGGAGGAGGACGACTGTGGGGCCCTTGGTGCTCTCTGAGCTGGATGGTTGTCTTGCAGACATTTTATTACCCAACTAGGGAACATCATCAGCGCTAGAAGGAAGGGGTGTTTGCAGAGAGGAAGAGGAGGAGGAAGACGACGACAACTATGGGGCCCTTGGTGCTCTCTGAATTGGGTGGTTTTCTTGCAGACGTTTCTTTACCCAACTAGGGAACATCGTCACTCCTTTCTAGCACTGACGGTGTTCCCTAGTTGGGTAATAAAATGTCTGCTAGGAAACCACCCAGCTCAGAGAGCACCAAGGACCCCACAGTCCTTCTCCTCTTCCTGATAGGCCACAGTTTGGGAGTTACATTTTTATGGATGCATCCCATAATTGCATTTGCTAGTTTTATTTTTTATTTTTTGCAGAAGCATCATGCGGCGGGCTTCAGTTTCGCTTGCAATCAACTCGAATTCCCAAGATCTTTTTTGCTGGCTGGGGAATTCTGGGAGTTGAAGTCTCTCCATCTTCAAGCCGCTAAGCTTGAGCAGCATTGCTCTAACAACAGTGTTTCTTAACCTTGATAATTTTAAGGCACGTGGACTTCAACTCCCAGAATTCCACAGCCAGCATTGCTGGCTGTGGAATTCTGGGAGTTGAAGTCCACGTGCCTTAAAATTGTCAAGGTTGAGAAACACTGCATCTACCTGACTACGATTTAGCATAGTTGTCATGATTCTTATTTTTTTACCCATTATTAGCCATTATGCTTCTTTTTTCACCCTTTAGACCCCCCACCCTCCCAATTCTACCCAATTTCCCACTCATGTTTGCCCGCCAGCAGAGTGGGGAAGAAGACCCTCTTCCCATCCACCTACTTTCTGCAGTGAACTCCATGGTGGACATGGCATCTCCGTAGCGGTTTTGAGCCGAGCACACGTATTCTCCTTCGTCGTCCCACCTCAAGACCTGGATGATCACCTTCAGGGTGTTATGCGAGGAGGTCACCTGGATCCTTGGGTCCGTCACCAACTGGAGAAGATCAGTGGAGCCCACAAGCGCGTTGCCCTTGTACAGAGCTATCGCCGAAGGTGGGTCGCTGTCCACTGTGCACTGGATGATGCCCAAACGTCCTCCCTGGGTCTCCAGGAATGAGGTCATCACGGGCAACCTTGGGGAATCTTTGGGGAGGGGGCACAAAGGAAGAGATGTTGGCGTGGTTGCAAGGAGAGGGATCGATCTGAACGTTCTCCCCAGGCCCTCTGTTTTGTGAGTCTGAGGCTACACAGAGGCCTTGTGTAGGAGGTCTCCTTTTGCCTGGAGGACAGGAGACCACCCCGCAAGTTCTCCTCTGCCTCTTTCCCTAGTCTCTTGTCCCCACCTCCCACCTCCCGAAGTGTGGGAGTGTCCCTCTCATCCATCCCCATCCCAATCAGCAGCATGGCAACCGATGCACTGGGAGATGGATTTGCAAAGCCCTGTTAGATGCCTCCTTCTAGGACAGTGGTGGCGAACCTTTGAGAGACCGAGTGCCCAAACTGCAACCCAAACCCCTCTTATTGATCGCCGGGGGGCCAGGTGGGCGTGGCCCACTGAGTGGGTGTGGCTGTGGTGGTCATGGCAGACTGGGTGGGTGTGGCCAAGGTGGGTGTGGTCACCTCAATATTGCTCGTGGGGACGGACGGACGCCTGTGGGGGCCGGGCAGGATTGGGGGAGATCTAGTGGGTCTCTCGCAGGTGGAATGGTGGGTAGGAGGCTCGTCCTGCAGGGTGAGGCGAGGCAGAGTGGGGGTGCCATTATGTCAGGGCAAGGTGAGGCAGGGGCCGGGGCAGCTACTGCCTGACACCATCGGCCCCCGCACACAGAGGCCAGCGAGCGCATGGGGGCCGACAGTGTCCGTCAGCAGCCACAGCCTGCCGGCCCCTCGACCGGTGCACACTGGGGCTCCGCAGCCCGCCGCCAGCAGTTCGGAGAAGCGCCCACAGAGAGGGCTCTGAGTGCCACCTCTGGCACGCGTGCCATAGGTTCGCCACCACTGTTCTAGGACATGCCCTGGATGGAAGGAGAACTTCTCCAGTACAGGTACTCCAGGTAACATCTATGGAGCTTCTCCATCCTCCAGGTCAGGCTTGTCCCAAAAGTGCTTCCCTCCACCCCCGAGGCAAGTGGACTTTCTTTGTTCTCTTTGAAGATGTTTGAAGACGTTTGAGGACTGTGTTATAGCCTGAAGGTAGACGGTGTCTTTGCAAGAAGGATCAAAGAGGCCACCGAAGGTCCAAACTGAACAACGTCCTCTGTCTCCCGTCTACTACGCAGTCCTTTCAGCGGTTCCAAGAAGGCTCCACGCCCGTTTGCACACCACTCAGGTGACCCCTGAGGACACAGGTAAACCTCAACAGTGGCCTCAACGACTCCCTCAAAGGATGCCAACAACCGGCTGTCTGCAAGGAGTATAAATCCTTCCATCCTCCACCATCCAGTCAGAGAGGAAGAAGCTGAAAAAGCACCTTTGGGACAACCAGGATCTGGAGGACAGACAATCTCCATAGACATTTAGCCCTGCACTTAGGAATGGACACCCTTCAAATGTTGTGGGAGTCTGAAGGGATTTCCAGAAAACATTGTAGACTACAAGAACCATCTGCACGTCAGTTTGAGATTCAGACGGCCCAGACTCATCCCCATCATCCTGCGCCCGTTTTCAACGGGGAAGGGGCCCAGGGCAGTAAAACACCCTGCAGCCAAGAAGGCTCCCCACTCATTTGCACCACTCGGGTGACCTTCAGGATACAGGTCAACCTCCAAGTGGCCTCAACGACTCTCTAAACCAGTGGTTCTCAACCTTTTTAATGCCGCGACTACTCAACCGGTCGTAAGTTGAGGACTACTCAACTGTCGCAGCACCGTTTGCAGACTGGGGCTTTTGGCGGGCTCAGCAGGGCAGAGACAGCCTGGACAATTCTTATTGGCTTTTGAAAGCCAATAGGATTAGACTCTATTCAAGAGAGTCTATTCTATTGGCTTTCAAAAGCCAATAGAATAAAAGGGAGTAGCACAGCTAAGGAAAAGGGGGAAAGAAAATGGCGGACTGCGTTGTTTGGCGACCCCCGTGAAATGGTCGCTCGACCCCAAATGGGGTCCCGACCCACAGGTTGAGAACCTATGCTCTAAACGGAGGCAAATGACCGGCTGTCTGCAAGGAGTATAAAGCTATCCATTCCCCACCAACAATCCAGAACTGAAGAAGCCTCTGGGAAGAGAAGCGAAACAACTTCAAAGAGAAACAAGCAGGTCCAGTGGCCTCCTGAAAAAGCCCATCCCCCAGGTTTGGCTACTCACAGAGCACGCGCAGAGCGATGGGCGGTGAGATGTGGCTCCCTTTCTTGTTTTCGGCCACGCAGTGGAACGAGCCAGCGTCTCCGCTGACCACCGCTGAGAGAACCAGGGTGTCCTTCTGGCCTTGCTCTAGCCACTTGGCGTTCTTGTACCAAGCATACGTGATGGGGTCGTCTTCTTCTTTGCTCCCCACAGTGGTGAGACAGGTCAGGGCGACACGCTGGCCTTCGACCAGCTGGTCGGAGGGGCTGGCCACCACCCTGGCAGCTGTAAGCAGAGCAGGGAGGAGGAGAAGACCACGGCTGTCAGGCCTACAAGGTGGATCACTCAACCGGCCTCCAGAAGCGGTGAATGCTCCAACACTGGAGGCTTTAAGAAGAGACTGGACGGCCACTTGTCTGAAATGGTCAAGGGTCTCCTGCTTGAGAAGGAGGCTGGACTAGAAGACCTCCAAGGTCCCTTCCAGCTCTATTCTATTCTATTCTATTCTATTCTATTCTATTCTATTCTATTCTATTCTATTCTATTCTATTCTATTCTATTCCATTCCATTCCATTCTATTCCATATTTTCTATTCATATTGTTCTATTCTGTTCTAAATTCTGTTCTATTCTATTCTATTCTATTCTATTCCATTCTATTCCATTCCATATTTTCTATTCTATTCTATTCTATTCTATTCTTCCATTCCATTTCATATATTCTATTCTATTCTATTTCTATTCTATTCTATTCCATTCCATATTTTCTATTCTATTCTATTCTATTCTATTCTATTCTATTCTATTCTATTCTATTCTATTCTATTCTATTCTATTCTATTCTTCCATTCCATTTCATATATTCTATTCTATTCTATTTCTATTCTATTCTATTCCATTCCATATTTTCTATTCTATTCTATTCTATTCTACTCTATTCTATTCCACATTTTCTATTCTATTCTATTCTATTCTACTCTACTCTACTCTACTCTACTCTACTCTACTCTACTCTACTCTACTCTACTCTACTCTACTCTACTCTATTCTATTCTATTCTATTCTATTCTATTCTATTCTTCCATTCCATTCTATTCCATTCCATATTTTCTATTCTATTCTATTCTATTCTATTCTATTCTATTCTATTCTATTCTATTCTATTCTATTCTATTCTATTCTATTAATTCTAACTCACCTTGTGTGGGGGTGGGGACGGGAGGAACGGAAGGGGGATGCCGGCCATGGGCCTTTGACGGAGGTCTGGCCCTCCCTCCAAGGGGCTCTTCTCCGGCTCTCCTCCGTCTTCTCTTCCATGCCCCCCTTCTTCTCCCTTGGGTTTCCCAGACTGGGCGCCCTAAGGAGGCTGGGGGTACCCGCTGCAACCCCCCACCTCCCCCCCACTTACTCACTCTGGCTCCGGAAGAAGCTGGAGCTGCTGGTGTTCCCGTACTGGTTGCTGGCCAGGCACCGGTACTGGCCCTCGTCCTCCGGGGTGACCCTCTGGATCTCCAGCTTCAGGGAGTTGCGGGTGGCTGCGATGCGGATCCGCTGGCTGGGCGCCGAGTGTGAGCTGGTGGTGGCCAGGAGGCGCCCGTCCCGGAAGAGGCTCAGGGTGGCCTGGGGGTTACTGTCCACCGTGCAGTGGACGATGGCCAGCTGGCCCCTCTGCCTCTCCTGGAACAAGGCCAGGGAGGGCAGCCGCGGGGGATCTGCCGGAGGCAAAAGGGGGTGAGGCTGGATGGCAGGGGCCCGGGTCCACCTCCCAAAGGGGGCCTTCCTGGAACACAGGGCGGTGCATCATGGTTTCTGGGGTCCCGGGGGACGGGAAAAGCCAGGGAGCTGGGTCTAAGGTTGTGTTTCTCCACTTTGGCGGCTTTCAGACGGGTGGACTTCAATTCCCAAAATTCCCCAGTCCAGCCATCTTAAAGCATGCTGGCTGGGGGATTCTGGGAGTTGAAGTCCATATATCTTAAACATGCTGAATGGGGGATTCTGGGAGTTGAAGTCCACCCCTCTTAAAGCATGCTGGATAGGGGATTCTGGGAGTTGAAGTCCATACATCTTAAACGTGCTGAATGGGGGATTCTGGGAGTTGAAGTCCACCCCTCTTAAAGCATGCTGGCTGGGGGATTCTGGGAGTTGAAGTCCACCCTTCTTAAAGCATGCTGGCTGGGGAATTCTGGGAGTTGAAATCCACCCATTTTAAACTTCCCAAGGCTGAGAAACACCCCTCTAAGGACACTAGCAGAGGCGTTAATTTTGCCCAGAAGCATAAAACCATGAGTAACATCCCAGTTTAAAGTCTGTCTGAGTTGATAAATGGCTGAAATTAAGCCTGCTGTTATTTTCACAACGGGCTGCGGAGCCAACAAATCCTCCTGCTCCTTCCGCCTTGTGCATAAATTCTGCAGTAAATGTAATTTAAAACAGGCAGCCGTCCATCATTCTGGCGCCAAACTGTGGTTTACATCCTGGGGGCTGTGTAGGGAGTGGGCTTCCTCATTGTAATGGCTCCTGAAGCATTGCACATCAGCCTTCCTTCCACCAAATTGCTTGGGGGGGTCAAGATAGGATAACTTTATCCCCCCAAATAAGCTGGGATCCTGACCCATTTTGGGGGAAGGCTGCACAATCACAATCACAATCACAGGCACAACCACCACCACCACCACCACCACAATAACCATTACAATCACAATAATAATCACAACTACAATCAATCATAATCACAACCACAATCACCACAATCACAATCACAATAATCAGTCACAATAATAATCACAATCACAATCACAAGAATAACCACAACCACAGCCACAACAACCACAACCACAATAATAATCACAGCCACAACCACCACAACCACAACCACAAGCCACCACAACCACAACCACAACAATCATACAATCACAATAATAATCACAATCACAGCCACAACCACCACCACAATCACAATAATAATTACAATCACAATAATAATCACAACCAAAACCAAAACCACCACAACCACAATCACAATCACAACCATCATACAATCACAATCACAATAATAATCACAATCACAGCCACAACCACCACCACAATCATAATCACAATAATAATTACAATCACAATAATAATCACAACCAAAACCACCACCACCACAACCACAATCACAATAATAATCACACACAACTACAGCCACAATCACCACCACCACCACCACCACAATCACGTAACCACAATGATATAGTCTATAACCACACCCACAATCCTCTAGCAAGAAGCAACCTTGCAGGGCTGGTTTTGGGCCAGGCCCGTTTCTCGGGACTCAAGCGCAGGCCGAGGGCCCCGGGGGGCCCAAACTCACACAGGACGGTCAGGCTGACGGCGGACGAGGTCTGGCTCCCCTTGTCGTTCTGGACTTTGCAGGCGTAGTAGCCGGTGTCCCCGACGGTCGCCGCCTGGAAGGTCAGGATGTGGGCGCTGCCCTCCTTCAGCCACAGGGTGTTCTTGTACCAGCTGTAGAGGATCTCCTGCTGGTCTTCTCCAGGTACCTTGCAGGTCAAGGTGACCGTCTCACCTTCTCTGACCCTGGAGGAAGGACTGATCGACAGCACAGCAGCTGGGCAGGGGAGGGACACGGGGTTGTAAGCCAACGTGGAGCAGAGTTCTGCAAACTTGGCCCCGGGAAGACGTGTGGACTTCAACTCCCAGAATCCCCCAGCCAGCATGCGCTGGCTGGGGGATTCTGGGAGTTGAAGTCCACACGTCTTCCCGGGGGCCAAGTTTGAAGACCCTTGCTGTGTAGTCCAACAGACTTTGATCACACCCAACCAGACAAACTGGCCACAACCTAAATTAGTATCCTGGTCTCTTTTCCCTTAGGAACCACCATCCTGAAAGGGAGCAGGGAGGGGAGGCCCTAGCACTCCAGTTCCCATCATCCCCTGTAGGCATAGAGACAAGATTGATGAAGCAGAGACTTGGTCTTATGCTTACAATATATGGAAGTTGAAGTCCAGCCCTCTTAAAGCATGCTGGCTGGGGGATTCTGGGAATTTGAAGTCCACCCTTCTTAAAGCATGCTGGCTGGGGGATTCTGCAAGTGGAAGTCCACCCATCTTAAAGCATGCTGGCTGGGGGATTCTGGGAGTTGGTCCACCCTTCTTAAAGCATGCTGGCTGGGGGATTCTGGAAGTTGAAGTCCAGCCCTCTTAAAGTATGCTGGCTGGGGGATTCTGGGAGTTGAAGTTCACCCTTCTTAAAGCATGCTGGCTGGGGAATTCTGGGATTTGGTCCACCCCTCTTAAAGCATGCTGGCTGGGGGATTCTGGGAGTTGAAGTCCAGCCCTCTTAAAGCATGCTGGCTGGGGGATTCTGGGAATTGAAGTCCACCCCTCTTAAAGCATGCTGGCTGGGGGATTCTGGGAGTTGAAGTCCACCCCTCTTAAAGCATGCTGGCTGGGGAATTCTGGGAGCTCCCAGGTCTAAAAGTTGCCAAGTTTGGGATCCCTGGCCCAGAGGCTACTCTTTAAGCTTTTATGGGTGGCATGTAAGTTTTAAGGAATAAATAACAATTTAAAAAGGAATGGAATGATTGAATCAGTCTGGTCCTCCTTCCTATGGCCTGCTGAGATGCAGTTGTGGCTACTCACAGAAAATGTGGAGCGGGACCCCTTCGGCCACTCCGGTGCCCAGCGCGTTCTCGGCCTCACAATGGTAGAGTCCGTAATCCTTGAGGGACACAGATGGGATGTTCTTCACCTGCTCGCTTCCGCAGGCAGAGCCGTCCTTGAACCACCTGAAGGCCGTGGGCTCCGGGTAGCTGGCGCTGACGTTGCAAAGCAGAGACACGGCGTCACCCACTCGGAGGTTCTGGTTGGAGGGGTGGAGGATCACCTGGACACCCTTGGGGGCATCTAGGAAGGGACAAAAGAGAAGGAGAATAAAAGATCAAAAAGCCCAGAGGGATGAGTGGTGGGCTTCCATTCTATAGGGCAGGGGTAGGCAACCTCGGCTCTTTTATGACTCGTGGACTTCAACTCCCAGAATTCCTGAGCCAGCACGGCTCAGCTTGGCAACCTCTCCCTTTCCCCTCAGCGTGGCTGGCTCAGGAATTCTGGGAGTTGAAGTCCAGGAGTCATGAGGGGGCCTAGGCCTAGGCCAGAGATAGGCAACCTTGGCTCTTTTATGACTGGTGGACTTCAACTCCCAGAATTCCTGAGCCAGCCATGCTGAGGGGAAAGGGAGAGGTTTCCAAGCTGAGCCATGCTGGCTCAGGAATTCTGGGAGTTGAAGTCCACACATCATAAAGCAGACTAGGCCTAGACCAGGGGTAGGCAACCTTGGCTCTTTTATGACTCATGGACTTCAACTCCCAGAATTCCTGAGACAGCAGGGCTCAGCTTGGAAACCTCTCCCTTTCCCTCAGCATAGCTGACTCAGGAATTCTGGGAGTTGAAGTCCATAAGTCATAAAAGAGCTGAGGTTGCCTACCCCTGCACAGGAGGTTACAACTTCCATATTTGGGCACCCTGCATGGCAATGGAGGCTAGTCCCGTCTCATGAAAGAATGCTAAATTCCATCCAGACTGGATTAAGTTGGTACAAGTTTATCTACTCCTGCTTAGCAGAACAACAGAGTGGAAAGGGACCTTGGAGATCTTCTAGTCCAACCCCTGCACAAGCAGGAGACACTAGACTAGACCATGCCAGACAGGTGGCTGTTCTTTTTTTTCCTTAAAAACCTCCCGTGGTGAAGCATCCACAACTTCTGGTGGCAAGCTGTTCCACTGGTTAATTGTCCTCCCTGCCAGGAAGTTTCTCCTTAGTTCCAGGTTGCTTCTCTCCTTGATTGGTTCCCATCTGTTGCTTCTCATCCTGCCTTCCGGGGCTTTGGAGGCTAGGTGGACCCCCTCCTCTTCTCTGGGGCAGCCCCTCAAATATTGGAACATGGCTATCGCGCCCCCCCCCCCCAGTCCTTTAGGCAGTGAAGATACCTAAATCGTTCTTCTTTGTCCTATTTTCTGTGAGTTGTGCTGGGCTGGCTCAAAGTCACCCAGCCGTCATTCATGCCTAAGGCGGGACTAGAACTCACCATCTCCTGGTGACTGGCCCAAAGTCACCCAGCTGGTTTTCATGTCTAAGGCGGGACTAGAACTCACCGTCTCCTGGTGATTGGTCCAAAGTCACCTAGCTGGCTTTCATTCCTAAGGCAGAACTAGAACTTACCGTCTCCAGGTGATTGGCCCAAAGTCACCTAGCTGGTTTTCATGTCTAAGGCAGGACTAGAACACACTGTCTCCAGGTGATTGGCCCAAAGTCACTTAGCTGGCTTTCGTGCCTAAGGCAGGACTAGAACTCACCATCTCCTGGTGATTGATCCAGAGTCACCTAGCTGGCTTTCATTCCTAAGGCAGGACTAGAACTCACCGTCTCCAGGTGATTGGCCCAAAGTCACCTAGCTGGCTTTCGTGCCTAAGGCGGGACTAGAACTCACCGTCTCCTGGTTTCTAGGCCAAACTCACTCTTTATTTCTATTTATTAATATTATATATTTATACATATGTTTATATTGGGAGCCAAAATCCAAAACACGTAGAGACGGTGAGTAAACACCAATGGCAAAGGGCTGAGTTGTTTGTACGGTTCTGTAACGGGAGCTAGAAAAAGAAACAAATTGTGTAACCTTGCCTAACGATTGCGGTCTCGTTTCTGTAATCAGCGTTGGCGTCAAGTTTCATACAAACTGTGGGGGTCCACTTGTGTGATGTACTGAAGGAGGGAACATGGGAGTGTGCAGAAACGACGGATGCCTTCCTTACATTGTAATAAGTCTGTTGTCTGATTTTCATTGGGCTGACAAAGTTTATAAAGCAATGCTAACTTTCTAAAGTGTGATGCTCCTGAAACACAACTGCTGCCAGTGTTGGAGCATTCACAGCTTCTGGTGGCAGGTTGTTCCACTGGTTAATTGCTCTCACTGTTTCTTGTCCTGCCTTCAGGCACCTTGGAGAATAGCTTGACTCCCTCTCCCCTGTTCCTTGGGGCAGCCCCTCAAATACTGGAATACGGCTATCATGTATTGATATATGTGTCAACAACAACAACAATAATAATAAAGTTGGAAGGGACCTTAGAGGTCATTTAGTCCAATGCTCTATACCAGTGGTTCTCAACCTTTTTAATGCTGTGACCCCCAACCGGTCGTAAGTCGAGGACTACTCAACTGGTCGTAAGTCGAGGACTGCTCAACTGGTGCAGCACCGTTTGCAGAATGGGACTTTTGGCGGGCTCAGCAGGGCAGAGGCAGCCTGGACAATTCCTATTGGCTTTTGAAAGCCAATAGACTGAGACTCTATTCAAGAGAGTCTATTCCAGTGCTTCTCAACGTTTGTGTGACGGCGACCCCCGTCACACAAACGTTCTGCGCATGCGCGGTGCCACGCGCATGGGGGGCCATGCGCGATGCGCATGCATGGTGCGCCCCCATGCGCGGCGCGCGTGCACGACGACGCCCCATGCACGGCGCGCGTGCACGGCGCCGCGAAAAATGGCGGATCGCCACCTTTGGCAACCCCCGAAAAATGGTCGATCAACCCCAAATGGGGTCGCGACCCATAGGTTGAGAACCGCTGGTCTATTCTATTGGCTTTCAAAAGCCAATAGAAAAAAAGGGAGTAGCACAGCTAAGGAAAAGGCGGAAAAAAATGGTGGACTGCGTTGTTTGGTGACCCCCGTGAAATGGTCATTCGACCCCAAATGGGGTCCCGACCCACAGGTTGAGAACTACTGCCCTATATCATTTCGGACAAATGGCTGTCCAGTCTCTTCTTAAAAACTTCCAGTGTTGGCGCATTCACCGCTTCTGGAGGCAGGTTGTTCCACTGGTTAATTGTTCCCACTGTCAGGAAGTTTCTCCGTAGTTCCAGGTTGCTTCTCTCCTTGATTCGTTTCCATCCGTTGCTTCTTCTCCTGCCTTCAGGCGCTTTGGAGAATAGCTTGACTCCCTCTTCTTTGGGGCAGCCCCTGAGATACAGGAAGGCTGCTATCCTGCCCCCCCCCTCGTCCTTCTCTTCCTTAAACTAGACCTACCCAATTCCAGCAGCCATTCCTTATATGTTTAAATTAAGTGCTGTACGTTTAAGAAGCCTCTGCTTGAGTTTTGATGACTGGATTTTTACAATTTCTCAGGTTTTGCCACAGGCCAGGGACCTTACAGCCTATTTCAGCCTGATGGGCTTCCAAGGTTTGGAAGAAGATCTGGGTTTGAAGCCTGACCGTGATGCTGCTTAGGTGGTGTTGAGGGGGGGGGTCCCTGCAGGAGGTTCCCTGCTCCGTCGCGCTACTCACATGCAACACGGAGAGTAACTTCGCCTCTGGCCTTCTGGGTCCCCACGGACACTTCACAGCCCAGCTTGTGTTCGTGGTCCTTCCAGGTCAGCGTCGTCTGGAGCGTTTGCCTCAAGACAGCCGCCGTGGTGTCAAGCTGGACTGTTCCAGAGACATCTGAGGTCTCGGGGTGGTGGCCGAACCATCGCAGGGAGCTGTGTTCGTAGGGACAGACGTACGGACTAGAACACTTAAAGGATGCTGGAACTCCCTCCCTCAGATAGTCGGGGGCAGCAATGGTGGGTATATCAGGGTTATCTAAGGAAAGATATAGGACAAAGGGATGAACTTGGCACATGATCTGGAGAAGACCTCTTATCTCCCTTGGCCATGCTGTAATTCAGAGGTCTCCACCCTTGGCCACTTTAAGACTTGTGGACTTCAATTCCCAGAGTTGCCCAGCCAGCACATGGATTAAAAGAAAGCACCAGACGGCAAGACAAGGAACAGAAGAGGAGAAGAGAAGAGAATAATGAATAGAATAGAATAGAATAGAATAGAATAGAATAGAATAGAATAGAATAGAATAGAATAGAATAGAATAAGAGAAGAGAATAATGATAATAGCATAGAATAGAATAGAATAGAATAGAATAGAAGAAGTGAAGAATAATGATAATAGAATAGAAGAATAGAATAGAATAGAATAGAATAGAATAGAATAGAATAGAATAGAATAGAAGAAGTGAAGAGAATAATGAGAATAGAATAGAATAAGAGAAGAGAATAATGATAATAGAATAGAATAGAATAGAATAGAATAGAATAGAATAGAATAGAATAGAATAGAATAGAATAGAATAGAATAGAATAGAATAGAAATAGAAAATGGCTAGGATAATAAAGAATAGAATAGAACAGAACAGAAGAGAATAGAATAGAAGCTGGAAGGGGCCTTGGAGATCTTCTAGTCCAGCCCCTTGCTCAAGCAGGAGAACCTATACCATCTCAGACAAATGAACTATGGATAGAAACTAATCAAGGAGAGAAGCAATCTGGAATGAAGGAGAAACGTCCTAACAGCCAGGACAATTAAACCAGTGGAACTGCTTGCCACCAGAAATTGTGGCTGGTTCATCACTGGAGGTTTTTCAGAAGAGGCTGGACAGTCACTTGTCTGAGATGGTGTAGGTTCTCCTGCTCGAGCAGGGGGGGCTGGACTAGAAGACCTCCAAGGTCCCTTCCAGCTCTTATTCTGACTGAAGATTCCTTTCGCAGCTGGAGAAGGAGACCACCTACCCGTGATGGTCAGCTGGAGCTGCTTCTTCTCCGTCCAGCTGTTCGCATTGACGATTTCAAAGCGGAAGGAGTATGAGCCGCTGTCTTCCTTCGTCAGGTGTCTCAGGAGGAGGGTGCAGTTGCGCTGGAGGGGGTCCCCCAGCAGCCGGACCCGGTTTTGAAAGCGAGAATCGGCCTTCTCCGGAGAGGTGGAATGGAAAACGGTGACCAACTGATTATTCTCGTCTTTGTACCAAATAGCCACGATCCCATTTGCCATGGAGACGTCGCCGGGGAAGGCAAACGTGCACGGAAGCACCGCGCAAGAACCCGTGATGGACGACACGCGGTCCGGGTAAGTCGCCGACCAGGAAGCCGAAGCTGCAGAACAGGAGGAAGGGAGAACACAAGAGCTGAGATAAACAGAATGAGAGTGTTGGGTGGGACCTTGGAGGTCTTCTAGTCCTACCCCCCCCGTTCAAGACAGAAGACTTTCTGCCGTTTCCGACCGATGGCTGTCCAATCTCTTCTTGGAAACCTCTGGGGATGGAGCTCCCACAACCGAGTTGGGAGGGTCCTTGGAGGTCTTCTAGTCCAACCCCCCTCCCACCCAACCAGGAGACCCTATACCCTCCTGGTCAAATTGTTGTCCGATCTCTTCTTTGATGGAGCGCCCACAACTTCTGGTGGCAAGCTGTTCCACGGATTATTTGTTCTCATTCTCCAGACGTTCCTCCTTAGTTCCAGGTTGCTTCTCTCCTTGAGTAGTTTCCATCCGTTGGTTTCTGTCCTGCCTTCGGGGGCTTTGGGGAATAGCTTGAGCCCCCCCCCACTCTTTGGGGCAGCCCCTCAAATATTGGAAGGCTGCTATCACGTCACCCCGAGTCCTTCTTTCCATTCAGTGCCATGGCCCCCAGTCTGACTGACCCACTCCTGGGTTCACGTAACGCCTAATGCCAGGGAGTTCTATTGGCCCAATGGGGGTAGCCGGGTTCATTTGGACCTTGGTTAATTTAGGGGGCTGTGACTCTTCATTTCAGGTTTAGGAGATTGCATAACCAGCAAAAGGGTTAATTCAATCCCTTAATCCAATGGGCAGTGGTGAGAATGCAATATTACAGGATAATTCAGCCCACTGCCAGGAGTTTGATCCCTTCGATCCTGACCAGTTTGAGATGACTCAGCCTTCCTTCCTTCCTTCCTTCCTTCCTTCCTTCCTTCCTTCCTTCCTTCCTTCCTTCCTCCCTTCCCTCCCTCTATCTCCTTCCTTCCTTCTCTCCTTCTCAAGTTTCCTTCCCTCCCCTCCCTCCATCTCCTTCCTTCCCTCGCTTTCCTCCCTCCCTTCCTTTCCTTCCTTCCCTCCCTCTCTCCCTTTCTTTCTTTCTTCCTTCCTTCCCTCCCTTCCCTCCCTCCATCTCCTTCCTTCCTTCCTTCCTTCCTTCCTTCCTAGGTTGGTAAAATGAAGACCCAGATTGTTGGGGGCAAAGAGGCTGACTCTGTAAACTGCCCAGAGAGGGCTGTAAAGCGGTATATAAGTGCTATTGTGAAGCGGTATATAAGTGCTATTGGAGGGAGGGAGGGAGGGAGGAAAACAAGGAGAAGGAAGCCCTGATGGCTGAGTGGCTAGAGCAGCAGTTCTCAACCTATGGGTCGCGACCCCATTTGGGGTCGATTGACCATTTCACGGGGTCGCCAAGCAAGGCTGTCCGCCATTTTTTTCCCCTTTTCCGGCGGGTGCCTCACCTCCCTTGGGCTGGGCCAGCTGGTGGCCCAGCCGGTGGTCGGCCTGCTCCGTCTCTGCCGCTTGCCAGCTACGCCTCGGTGCAGGGGGCGGCACCACGCATGCGCAGCGCTCCCGGGCAGGGAAAGTCCTCGACTTACGACCGGTTGGGTATTCCTCAACTTACGACCGGTTTAGTCCTTGACTTACAACCGGTTTAGTCCTCGACTTACGACCGGTTGGGGGTCGCGGCATTAAAAAGGTTGAGAACCGCTGGGTTAGAGCGTCATATCGCAGGCTGATTCTGCCCACAGCCAGGAAGTTCCATCCTGACCGGCTCAAGGTAGACTCAGCCTTCCGTCCTTCCCAGGTCGGGAAATTGAGGACCCAGATTGTTGGGGGCAAAGAGGCTGACTCTGTAAACCACCCAGAGAGGGCTGTAAAGCATTGTGTATATAAGTCTAAGTGCTAAGTGTTCAGTGCAGGTAGTCCTCCATTTACGACCACAACTGAGCCTAAAATTTGTGTTGCTAAGTGAGACGGTTGTTTAGAGACATTTAGCTGGCGTACCTGGCGAAATAATCACAGCAAACGACACAAAGGCGAGGAAGAGGAGTCTCATTGTGAGTTCCGAGGTTGAGTCGGGCCTGTGGAAACCTAGTGGGGAGAACAAAACCCAGACATGGTTAAAATGCGAGGCTAGCAGGAGTACTGCGGACTGTCTGGATCATGGCTACGGGGAACCCTCGACGTGTAACAGTTTAACGATCATTCGAAGTTGCAACAGCACTGGTTATGACACTCACTCTCCATGCCCATGGCCAGCCCTAGTGGGTTCTCCTCTGAACTCTTCTGAACCGAATCTTCCAAATACAGACTGCACAATAACAGAGTCGGGAGGGACCTTGGAGGTCATCTAGTCCAACCCCCTGCTCAAGCAGGAGACCCTGGGACATTTCAGACAACTGGCTGTCCAGTCTCTTCTTAAAAACCTCCAGCGATGGAGCGCTCACAACTTCTGGAGGGAAGCCCTTCCACTGATTGATTGTCTTCACGGTCAGGAAGTTTCTCCTTAGTTCTAGGTTGCTTCTCTCCTTCCTTTTAATCAAGGAAGGGAAGAAGATAGGGGAAGAATGATGAAGTGTAGAGGAAGGGTCTCTCCAGGCTGTTCATTCGAGCAGAAAACACACCGCCATTTGATCAGGGACTTCAGATACCAGCAGGGGCACCAGGTCAAGTCTGAAGGTTGACAGACAGAGAGACACAGAGAGATGATGGTAGATAAATAGACAGATAGACACAGACAGACAGACAGATAGAAGATAGATAGATAGATAGATAGATAGATAGATAGATAGATAGATAGATAGAAGAAAAGAAATGGGAAGGAAGGAAGGAAGGAAGGAAGGAAGAAAGAAAGAAAGAAAGAAAGAAAGAAAGAAAGAAAGAAAGAAAGAAAGAAAGAAAGGCGGATAGATAGATAGATAGATACCAATAGAAAGAGAGAGGGAGACAGAGAGACAGAGACAGATGATGGTAGATAAATAGATAGACAGACAGATAGAAGATAGATAGATAGAAGATAGATAGATAGATAGATAGATAGATAGATAGATAGATAGATACCTAGATAGATAGAAAATAGATGTTAGATAGATAGATATGAGATAGATAGATAGATAGATATGATAGATAGATAGCTATAATAGATAGACATAGAAAATAGATATAGATAGACAATAGGCAGATAGGCAAATAGACAGAGAGACAGAGAGACAGACAGACAGATAGACAGACACAGATAGATAGATAGATAGATAGATAGATAGATAGATAGATAGATAGATAGATAGATAGATAGAAGATAGATAGCTATGATACATAGACAGATAGATAGATAGATAGATAGATAGATAGATAGATAGATAGATAGATAGATAGATAGATAGACAGACAGACAGACAGACAGACAGACAGACAGACAGGGTTGGCTGGCTCAGGAATTCTGGGAGTTGAAGTCCACAAGTCATAAAAGGGCTAAGTTTGAAGACGCCTGCCCTATCACATTGCAGCAAGCAGAGATAGGCTTGCATTCCCAGGTCCTGCTTAGGACCTACAGGCAGAAGATAGCTGGCTGGGGAATTCTGGGAGTTGAAGTCCACAAGTCCACAACTGTGCAAGCTTGGACACCCTAATCTAGGACATAAATCCATCTATGTCTTTGGATCACCCAGCTGGAAAAACTGCTTTGGTTCCAGATGTGGCTTCTCAGATCTTAATACCTATTTTGGGAGAGCAACCTGTTCATCAGAAACAACGGGTGGAAACTAATCCAGGAGAGAAGCAACCTGGAATTAAGGAGAGACTTCCTAACAGGGAGGAGAATGAACCGGTGGAACTGCTTGCCTCCTGAAAATGTGGGGGCTTCATCACTGGAAGTTTTTAAGAAGAATTTGGACCGCCCCTTGGTGTAGGACAGGAGTAGGCAACCTTGACTCTTTTATGACTCGTGGACTTCAATTCCCAGAATTCCTGAGCCAGCATAGCTGGCTCAGGAATTCTGGGAGTTGAAGTCCACGAGTCATAAAAGAGCCAAGGTTGCCTACCCCTGGTATAGGATCTCCTGCTTGAACAGGGGGTTGGGCTAGAAGACCTCCAAGGTCCCTTCCAGCTCTATTTTGATTAAGGAAATTAGGAGAAGACCTTCTTAAAAAAAATGAAGCCTGGATGCTAAAACTTGCTGCTATCTTCTGCCTTTGGGGTCCAACGGTTGTTGATGTTTTTTTCCCCTCCCGAGCTTTTGCTTTTTAAGCTGGCTTGTCACAGTTGGCTTCCTTAAACAGACTTTCTTCCCATTTTCTAAAGGGGGACAGCGAAGAACAGACCAACCAAGATTGGACAATCAAAGAAAAGTCCCGTGGAAATAAGTTGCTATCGCCCAGCACTGTGTCACCCTAGGGCTGCATCAACAGAGTGATAGAATCAATATCACATCAAGTATTTGTATTGCTTAATCTAAGACAGTGATGGCGAACCTTTTAGAGCAGCGGTTCTCAACCTGTGGGTCGGGACCCCATTTAGGGTCGAACGACCATTTCACGGGGGTCGCCAAACAACGCAGTCTGCCATTTTTTCCCCCCTTTTCCTTAGCTGTGCTACTCCCTTTTATTCTATTCGCTTTTGAAAGCCAATAGAATAGACTCTCTTGAACAGAGTCTAATTCTATTGGCTTTCAAAAGCCAATAGGAATTGTCCAGGCTGTCTCTGCCCTGCTGAGCCCGCCAAAAATCCCATTCTGCAAACGGTGCTGCACCAGTTGAGTAGTCCTCAACTTACGACCGGTTGAGTATTCCTCGACTTATGACCGGTTGGGGGGGTCGCGGTTGAGAACCACTGTTTTAGAGACTGAGTGCCGAAACTGCAACCCAAAACCCACTTATTTATCGCCGGGTGCCAGGTGGGTGTGGCCCACTGAGTGGGCATGGCTGTGGTGGTCATGGCAGGTTGGGTGGCTGTGGCCAAGGTGGGCATAATCACCTCGATGTTGCTCGTAGGGAGGGACACCTGTGGGGGCTGTGCAGGGTTGGGGGAGATCCAGGGGGTCTCTGGCAGGTGGGGTGGTGGATAGGAAGCTCGTCCTGCGGGGTGAGGCGAGGCAGGATGGGGGTGCCATTATCTCAGGGCAAGGCAAGGCAGGGGCCGGGGCAGCTACTGCCTGACACCATCGGCCCCCGCACACAGAGGCCAGCGAGCGCATGGGGGCCGACAGTGTCCGTCAGCAGCCACAGCCTGCCGGCCCCTCGACCGGCGCATTCTGGGGCTCCGCAGCCCGTCGCCAGCAGTTCGGAGAAGCGCCACAGAGAGGGCTCTGAGTGCCACCTCCGGCACGCGTGCCATAGCTTCGCCACCATTGATCTAAGGCCTTGGTAAGAACACACTTGGAACACGGCGTCCAGATTTGGTCGCCGTGATATAAAAAGGTCTTTAGACTTTGGAAAAAGTGCAGAGAAGAACAAAATAGAAATACAAGTTAAGATAGGCAAGAAAACGGTAAGTGAGCACCTGTCCAGCCTAGACGAGTTCAAATCGCCAGGACCGGATGGATTACACCCCAGGATTCTCAAGGAACTGGCAGATGTGATCTCAGAACCACTGAACTATATTTTTCAAAGATCCTGGAGCACTGGGGAACTACCAGAGGACTGGGAAAGAGCTGATGTAGTTCCCATCTTTGAAAAAGGAAAAAAAAATGGACCCAGGAAATTACAGACCTATCAGCCTGACTTCAATACCTGGGAAGATTCTGGAAAAGATAATCAAACAACGAATCAGCGAACATCTCCAGGCAAACAAAGTCGTTATTAAAAGCCAACATGGGTTTGTCAAAAACAGATCATGCCAGACAAATCTTATTGTATTCTTTGACCAAGTGACAAGAGCAACAAAGATGATCAGGGGACTGGAGGCTGAAACATACAAGGAACGGTTGCTAGAATTGGCTATGTCTAGTTTAACGAAGAGAAGGACAAGGGGGGACATGATAGCAGTGTTCCAATATCTCAGGGGCTGCCATAAAGAAAAGGGAATCAAGCTATTTTCCAAAGCACCTGAAGGCAGGACAAGAAGCAACGGGTGGAAACTAATCAAGGAGAGAAGCAACCTAGAACTACGGAGAAACTTCCTGACAGTGAGAACAATTAACCAGTGGAACAGCCTACCTCCAGAAGCAGTAAATGCTCCAACACTGGAAGTTTTTAAGAAGAGACTGGACAGCCATTTGTCCGAAATGGTGTAGGGTTTCCTTCCTGAGCAGGGGGTTGGACTAGATGACCTCCAAGGTCCCTTCCAACTTTACTATTATTATTATTATTATTTATTATTATTAAACTCATCAAGGAGAGAAGCAACCTAGCACCAAGGAGAAATCTCCCAACAGTGAGAACAGGGAGAACAATTAACCAGTGGAACGACCTGCCTCCAGAAGTTGTGGGTGCTCCATCACTGGAGGGTTTTTAAGAAGAGACTGGATAGCCATTTGTCTGGGAATGGTATAAAGTTGGAGCAGAGGGTTGGACTAGGTGACCTCTTAGCTCTCTTCCAGTTCTGTTGTTCTGCTCTGTTCTGTTCTTTCCCAACATGCAAAGCGACTCATAGTCTAGGCCAGGGATCTTCAAACTTGGCCTCTTTATGACTTGTGGACTTCAATTCCCAGAATTCTAGGAGTTGAAGTCCACAAGTCATAAAAGGGCCAAGTTTGAAGACCCCTGGTCCTATGTGCGAAAAAAACCAGACAAAGCTGGATGAGGAATTCTGGGAGTTGAAGTCCACAAGTCATCAAAGGGCCAAGTTCGAAGAGCCCTGGTCTAGACCAGTGGTTCTTAACCTTTTTGAACGAATCACCCCCTCGAGCCAATGAGGAAGTTGTCATCGCCCCCCTCCCCCAATATAACCTCTCAATCACAACATAGGAAATAATTCTTCAATTTATGCAAACGCTTTTTTTGTTTTCTTTCAAATTGTCATCAGGACATATCGATGCAAATAATTTATTTCCAGTCTTTTCCCCATATCTCCCATATTCTGGCCAATAGCGCACCGTTGTATGGGTAGAGGCTGCTGCGCAACGCGCATGAAGATGCGTCTTCACATATGTACGGCGTTCTGTACTGAAGCTAGCTGGAGGAACATTTGAAAACACAATTCAATCCACTAAGAGCGAGCGATCTGATGTTTTTGTACGACAGATATACAGCCATTTGCTGTCCGAAAAAGTCTCAAAAGCAGGGGTAGTCAACCTTGGCTCTTTTATGACTCGTGGACTTCAACTCCCAGAATTCCTGAGCCAGCTAAGCTGGCTCAGGAATTCTGGGAATTGAAATCCACGAGTCATAAAAGAGCCAAGGTTGACTACCCCTGCTCAAAAGTGTCCCCAAAACCTCTCGCTCCATCGCCCCCATATCGCCCCATTTTCGTTCCATCGCCCCCCTGAAAAATGAAATCGCCCCCTGGGGGGCAATATCGCCCAGGTTAAGAACCACTGGTCTAGACAACCTCAAGAAGAACCTGAAGCTAAGGTCCACCTTACCTTCTCAACGACAACAGCTGCTTCTGCTCCGGGGCTCCCGTGGAACTTCCAGCATTAGGTTGGAGGCACCATCAGAAGATGTTTGGAGACCCCAGGTGGTATGCTGACGCTCTCCTGAGGTCGGTGTGGTCCAGAGAAGAATGTGGCTTTCTCCTTGGGGCAGCTTTATTGTCCTCGGTTTCAGGAAGTCCTTTTGGACAGTCAGCTGTTCTCACCCCTTGCTTGGCTTCTTCACATCCTTGTCTCTGGACCTCAGTTCCGGGAAAGGAAGAAGGCGGGGATGGGATTCTGGTTTCTTGAGTTCAGATTGATGGTGGGGGTAGGTCCTAGAGTGGTGGAGGAAGGAGGGGAACCGTTGACATCTCTGGGCATGTCCTACAAGAAATAAAGGAGGCTGCGGATTCCACTTGGGGAGGTGGAAGAGGAGAGGGAAAGCAGACCTTTGGGAATGATCCATCCCGGAAGACCGGCCATCCTTTGGATTTGGAACTGGAGAGCCTCAGCCACGTGGACCGTCCCCATCTCTCTCGGCTTGGAATCTCCTGTAATCCGCTTCATGCCGGTGACCAGATGGGATGGGAATGATAAGGAAGATAAGGGTGGTGGAGCTGCAGGAAAGCAGCAGCCAGGCAATCCAGCATCCTGTTTCCCAGGGTGTCCTGGTGGCAGGGAGGCCCACCACCCAAGGAGAGTGCCTCAGCCATCGGCTCACTGCTCTCACGCAGAGCACCAGAAGAGTAGGTTTGGAAGGGACCCTGGAGGTCATCTAGTCCAACCCCCTGCTCAGGCAGGAAACCCTATATATATACGTATGTATGTATGTAGGTAGGTCTTTGGTTGTTCAGGTTTTCTCCCACGTAAAATTGGAAGTGTCTTGGCGACGTTTCGACGAAGTCTCATTCGTCATCTTCAGGCTGGTGTTTTCGGCTTCGTGCTTCTAGGAGCAAAGAAGCCGAAAACACCAGCCTGAAGATGACGAAGGAGACTTCGTCGAAACATCGCCTAGACACTTCCAATTTGACGCGGGAGAAAACCCGAATAACCAAAGACCTACATAGAAACACCCGCGAAAACCTCAGAAAACAAATAGATAGATAGATAGATAGATATAGATATAGATATAGATATATATGTAGGCCTTTGGTTTTCCGGGTTTTTTCCTGCATAAAATTGGAAGTGTCTTGGCGACGTTTTGACGAAGTTCCATTGAAGCTCCTCGAAGCACGAAGCTGAAGACACCAGCCTGAAGATGACGAATGGGACTTCGTCGAAACATCGCCAAGACACTTCTAATTTTACGTGGGAGAAAACCCGATTAGGAAGTTCCTCCTTGATCCCAGGTTGCTTCTCTCTTTGGTCGGTTTCCATCCGTTGCTTCTTGTCCTGCCATCAGGTGCTTTGGAAAATAGGTGAACCACCCCCCCTCTTCTTTGAGGCAGCCCCTCAAATATTAGGAAAGTGCTGCCATATCACCTCTAGTTTTTCTTTTCATTGCCAACAGGTTTGGGATTTTTCAGAGCCTCCCTCCAAATCGGGATGAGCAGAAGTGTGTCTCCTGCTAGCTGGTCAGAGAAGGCGCAAAGGTGATCTATCTTTTGGGTTTTTCCAGCGTGGGCTTTCATCCCACGTTCCCTATTTCAATGAAATAGAATTGGAAGGGACCTTGGAGGTCTTCTAGTCTAACCCCCTGCTCAAGCAAGAGACCGTCTGCCATTTCAGACAGGTGGCTGTCCAGTCTCTTCTTAAAAAACCTCCAGTAATGGAGCACTCATGATTTCTGGTGGCAAGCTGTTCCACTGGTTAATTGTCCTCACTGTTAGGAAGTTTCTCCTTAATTCCAGGTTGCTTCTCTCCTTGGATTAGTTTCCATCCGTTGCTTCTGGTCCTGCCTTCAATCAATCAATCAATCAAACAACCAATCAATCAGAACAGAGCTGGGGGCACCTTGGAGGTCTTCTAGTGCAAGCCCCTGCTCAAGCAGGCGACCCTCTACCTGCCATTTCAGGCAAATGGTTCTCCAATATCTTCTTCAAAAACTCTAGTGTTGGAAGACCCACAACTTCTGGAGGGCAACTGTTCTACTGATTAATTGTTCCAACTGTCAGGAAGTTTCTCCTTAATTCCAGGTTGCTTCTCTCCTTGATCAGTTTCCATCCGTTGTTTCTTGTCCTGCCTTCTGTTGCTTTGGAGAATAAGTTGACCCCCTCCCCTTCTTTGCCCTCTTCAGTTTGAATCCTCCTCCTAATTGGGACGGTGGTTCTCCAACACCTTCAATTTTATAGGGCAAACTCCCCCCCCCCCAGTTATAATCCTTAGAATGCACTGAAGCTTTCCCCCTCTTTCTTCACACAGCTCTTTCACACCTTTCCTGACTTTTTTTTTTATATAAATGTTTTATTGAGTTTTATAAGGGTAGGGAAGGGATAAAGTTGGGCATGGATATTGGATGGGGTTAGGCCAGTGGTTCTCAACCTTTTTAATGCCGCGACCCCCAACCGGTCGTAAGTCGAGGACTACTCAACCGGTCGTAAGTCGAGGACTACTCCACTGGTGCAGCACCGTTTGCAGACTGGGACTTTTGGCGGGCTCAGCAGGGCAGAGACAGCCTGGACAATTCCTATTGGCTTTTGAAAGCCAATAGAATTAGACTCTATTCAAGAGAGTCTATTCTATTGGCTTTCAAAAGCCAATAGAATAAAAGGGAGTAGCACAGCTAAGGAAAAGGGGGAAAAAATGGCGGACTGCGTTGTTTGGCGACCCCCGTGAAATGGTCGTTCGACCCCAAATGGGGTCCCGACCCACAGGTTGAGAACCCCTGGGTTAGGGGATAGGGTTAGGATAAGGGTAGGGGTAGGTACGGTAGTGGGGCTACCCCTAACAAAAGTTCAACACTTTAGCAAGCAGACTATCGTCCCGGGTCCAAATATTAAATGACAGTAGTTAGATCCACAGTGTTTCTCAACCTTGACCATTTTAAGGCATGTGGACTTCAACTCCCAGAATTCCACAGCCAGCATTGCTGGCTGTGGAATTCTGGGAGTTGAAGTCCACATGCCTTAAAATGGTCAAGGTTGAGAAACACTGCAAGGAGAAGGAGGCACTGCCAAGAGAGAGGGGGTTCCTGGGTGGGGGGGGGTCCTCCAGCAGGCCCCCAGAGTAGCTCAGCTGCAGCAACCAAGTTTTCTCTGTGGGTCCAGCTGGAGGAACTTCTCCATGTCCTTCCCCCACAGCCCCTTTCCTGCCTGGCGTCTTCTCAGCACATACACGGAGGCTGACTTGGCTGTTCTCGCCTGGGGATCTTGCTGAGATCAGCAGCTGACCCAGGAAAGGCTGCGTGCCTTCTTGGCCATGTGCAAGTCCGACCATCTGCCCAGCTTCCGCTCAAGGAAACGAATCCGCGAGCGGCTGCAAGCTACAAACAAGTGGGGGGGATCCGAAGATCGCTTTCGATTCTTGGCTTTGATTTTTTTTTTTCCCCTGATGGGTGCATCTTTTGGGATGTGCTGGGATGCGGGCCAGCGGGGGTCAAGCGTGCTCGTGGGCGCTGACGGGCACCGACTTGTGTTTGTGGCTGAAAGTGAAAAACATGCAGCCCGGCACACTTCCCCTTTTCATTTAGTTATCTTATGACTCTCACTGTGCTGTGTTTTGATATATGATCATGATTAATAATAATAACAATCATCATCATAATCAAAACAATTGAAGCACCATTTGAACACCATCATTGGCATTGACAAATTCGCCATTAGTCAATTGCAAAAGGCAGCCTTACTAGGAACTGCTTCCATCCTGCGACGATACCTGTAATACCATCAAACATCCACATCTGCCTATTCCAGGTCCTGGGTAAGGACTCGATAGGTAGACAAAATGCCAAATCCAGTCTGAACATCTGGCTGACTGTGCGATGTTCCTCAATAATAATAATAATAATAATAATAATAATAATAATAATAATAATAATAATAATAGAGTTAGAAGGGACCTTGGAGGTCATCTAGTCCAACCCCCTGCTCAGGCAGGAAACCCTATACCATTTCAGACAAATGGCTGACCAGTCTCTTCTTAAAAACTTCCAGTGTTGGAGCATTCACTGCTTCTGGAGGCAGGTAGTTCCACTGGTGAATTGTTCTCACTGTCAGGAAGTTTCTCCTTAGTTCTAGGTTGCTTCTCTCCTTGATGAGTTTCCATCCATTGCTTCTTCAGATGCTTTGGAGAATAGCTTGACTCCCTCTTCTTTGGGGCAGCCCCTGAGATACTGGAACACTGCTATCCTGTCCCCCCTCGTCCTTCTCTTCGTTAAACTAGACATATCCAATTCCAGCAACCGTTTCTTGTACGTTTTAGCCTCCAGCCCCCTAATCATCTTTGCTATTCTTCTCTGGACTCTTTCTATTTTTTAGAAATATGCAATATGCATTTTAGTTTAAAATAAATAAAAAAATCTAAAGGAAGGAAGGAAAGAAGGATACGGAGGGAAGAGAGAAATAGAGGGAGGGAGGGAGGAAGGAAGGAAGGGGAGAAGGGGACAGGAGAGAGAGAAAGAAAGAAAAGAAAGAAAAAAAGCAAGAAAAGAAAGGCAGGAAGGATACGGAAGGAAGAGAGAAATGGAAGGAGGGAGGAAAGAAGGAAGGAAAAGGAAGGAAGGAAGGAAGGAAGGAAGGAAGGGAAAAACAAACAAGCTGCCAAGCCGGGACCAAGCAAATAGCCCTCATTCGGGGCTTAGGCCAGCTGCTGCCCCCCCCCCGCTCCCCCAGAGGTTCCGAAGCTGCTGGACTGCAGTCCCGCGGGGAGCCCCCGGCCCAGGCCCCCCTCGGCCCAGAAGCGCCGCGCTCCACGCCGCCAGCCGGCCTCCCTGCAGCCGCCGCGGAGAAACCGCCGCCCCGAAGGGCAGCCCGGCCCGGCCCCGCTCGCGGGCGCCCTCGCATTCCTCCCCGATAAGGCGCGTCGGGCGTCTGCGGAATGCCAGGCATCCCTGGATGGCCAGGAGCCTCTCCGGGCCCCCCTTGCGGGGCGAGACGGACGGGGGGGGGGGCTGCCCGGGTGGCGCCTGGGGGTCGGGGGGGGAGGGAGGGAGGGGGGAGCCTCGCCCCCCTGCGGCTATTGCCAGACCCCCCCTGCCCCCCCCCGGCTGCCATGGGGGGGGCTCTTCTAAGAGGCTCCAGAGGCCTCCAGCTGCCAGAGACAATATTTATCTGCTGGGGGGGGGCGGGAAGAGAGGCCCCAACAAACAGGAGAGGAATCTAGGAGGTCAGCGGGACCGCAGCTGCCCTTCTCCTAATCAGAAGAGAGCCGGGCCTCGGAGGTCATCTAGTCCAACCCCCTGCACAAGCAGGAGACCCTCTGCCATTTTAGATAGCAGAATAACAGATTTGGAAGGGGCCTCGCAGGTCATCTAGTCCAACCCCCTGCGCAAGCAGGAGACCCGCTGCCATTTCAGATAGCAGAATAAGAGAGCCGGAAGGGGGCTTGGAGGTCATCTAGTCCAACCCCCTGCGCAAGCAGGAGACCCGCTGCCATTTCAGATAGCACAATAAGAGAGCCGGAAGGGGCCTCGGAGGTCATCTAGTCCAACCCACTGCTCAAGCAGGAGACCCTCTGCCATTTTAGATAGCAGAATAACAGATTTGGAAGGGGCCTCACAGGTCATCTAGTCCAACCCCCTGCGCAAGCAGGAGACCCACTGCCATTTCAGAAAGCAGAATAAGAGAGCCAGAAGAGGCCTCGGAGGTCATCTAGTCCAACCCCCTGCGCAAGCA